TCTGTCTTCATAATCCAGTTTAATGTCAGTAAAAATAGTAGAGGTGAGAAAAGGCATCACTGTCACACAGTTATTCTTCTTTCAAATGTAGCTTAAAAAGGTATCTACATCAATGAATTATTTTGGTAAAATAAAATAAAAGTGATATTTACCCAAGCATTCCACATTCCTTCACTTTGATATGATACAAAAATAGCAGTATGGCCTGGAACATGTTGTTTCGTCCCTGATGAAAATGCAACAGAAAAATACATGTACTTTATAAACAAGTAATTAACATTGCATTTTTGAAACTCAAACAAAATAATTAACTAAAGCATTTGTGTCTGATTTCACTAGATTTTCCTACATTTACAACATTATTCACAGATAGAAGCAGGCTATTGACTCATGCTGAACTGTTTGTTTATCACTGAATGATAGTCAGAATTTCTGTAGGTGATTTAAGACCATGCCAGAAGTGTAGAGATATCTTGTTTCAGTCTTACATGAATAGTATTTTAACCTAATGTGCTGGCAATAAGACCATGAAGTCTTGGCTTGTCTGGGTAGCTGGATATGGTCTGCTTTTGTTAGATCTGGATGTGTCTTCTCACTAAGAATATGGTTTATATCAGCCGCTGCAGCCACCTCTCTAGCACTGAGCGACTTTAAGCAGACATTGTGAAGGATCTCTGAGATCAAGTAAACAGTGTAACAGAACAGACACAGTACTTAGGATATGGTTTATATCAGCCGCTGCTGCTGATTCAATCTTAAATTTGTTGTACATTCGAGCCCTGTTCTAAGGCGAACGACTTGTACTGATTGATAAGAGACTGGTATGTCAGGTTGTTCTTCAGTTGATCTCTGAGATCAAGTAAACAGTGTAAGAACAGACACAGTACTTAGGATATGGTTTATATCAGCCGCTGGTGCCTCTCTCGAGCACTGAACGACTTTACGATAAAGTGGACATTGTGAAGGATCTCTGAAGGAAAGAGACAGATCCCACATGTTAGTTCTAAGTGCAGTCTCCTTTATTCCAGTTTGTCAATGAATTCTCCTTCTCAAAGTCCACGCTGTGTGGTGCTCGCAGTCATATCTGTCCACAACTTTCTGTCTTGTGTACTTTCAAACAATTCTGACACAGATGATCCTTCATGCCATGATGTCAAAATGTCCGACATCTTTTCTTTCGGTCTCCTTCTGCCTCTTCTCCCCACCAAATTTCCTACTATCACGATGTACTCCAGTTTTCTCCTCATCATATGATCAAAGAATGTATACTGTCTCTTTTTGATGTGAACAATCAGCTCTCTTTGTGTCGATGAAAAATACACACAAAATGTCACTTTAAAAATACACATAAAAGAAAAAAATTGCAAACACTATAAATCTTAACGTGAGTACACTTCTAACCAACTGTCTCACCTTAGATAAATTGTAGATCTGTGAGCCGATAACCACCTGATAATGTGGGGGGTTGATGCTACTGTTGTAGATCTGCAGGTTGTCCTTGCGCTCAACATCTAGATTTAAAAAAAATTATTATAATAATAAAAGTAATATATTTAATTGTTCACTATTTCAGTTCAACAAATTCCACCAAAGATGTTCATGGAGAGAAATACCACTGACCGTGTGCCATGGAGTTAAATACAGGCAGCAGAGGTGCCGACACACAGACATATTTTGTCTAGGGGCACTTAGGGAGAGTAAGTCTTCTTTAAGTGCACATTAACCTGCTTCTTTTCGCTCACCACCTGTGAACCCCGGGTGAAGGTTCTAGTTGTTCGTCCACCTTTGGACTTCAGTCCTGTTTCAGAACCTGAGTGCTGCGTACATATCTACTTTAAAAATCTGACTCATTTGTAAGCAGACTATTGGCTCTTTGCCTCTTAGGCAGATGCACATCGACTGAAAAGAAACCCCTAATTAGTCGACTCTTATGACATGCTTGTTGGGGGAGCAGTTGATCTATTCTTGTTTTCCCTACAAAGGGCTCAAAACCCCACACAAGAAAGTGCGCACTAATGACAATAATAATTAGCTTAATCACAAATAGATTTAAAAATATATCTGAAATAATATAAAATGTATAAGCAAACGTTGAAAAACCTCTGTATATGGTGGGGAAGGGGCATTTAGCAACCTTGCATATTTTCAAAGCAATAGAGTCCTCAGCACCCTTTAAAACTTTGGAATGGGGGGGGGGGGGGGGGGGGGGGTTTGTGTATGTTTGCACAAGGTAACTGAGCGAGGGTCATGGTTTGCCATACCCTATTATCACCAGAATACACTTCAAGCCTGTGATGTTGTCCTACGTATGCCTTGTGGCCACGGCATCCCCATATTGTTTTTTCTCCACCTCACTTTTACCCATCAAGTCTGTCATGTCGGTAAGTATTTTTTTGGACCACTGCTTTCCTTCTTGGATGGCTGTAGCCATTCTCACCATAGTGCCATCATCTATCCAGTCTTGGAACTTCAGACCATGACCAACGAATAACTGTCATTAGTCCATTGCGTCAACATTTTTTGTTTTAACTTGAACTCATTTTAGTCTATAATGTTATTTAAATACTTTTAGACCCAGACATGTCTTATTTTAATTAACAAATGTATGGAATACAATCTAATCAAGAGCATCCTGTCCTGAAATCTGAGGTATTCTGGCCATGTTAAACGTCACAGTGGCCTGGAAAGATTGGTGACGAAAGGTAGTTTCCGGAAAATTAGGCACATCTCCCTGAATATGTATACAAGATACTGAAGACGTGCTGGCTATGAATGTACTTGAGGCTGGAGAACTGGCTAGAGAAGGGGAGACTTTCAGGTGTGCTAGCTATGAATGCACTTGAGGTTGAAGAACTGGCTAGAGAAGGAGAGACTTTCAGGTGTGCTGGCTATGAATGTACTGAGGCTGGAGAACTGGCTAGAGAAGGAGAGACTTTCAGGTGTGCTGGCTTTGAATGTACTGAGGCTGGAGAACTGGCTAGAGAAGGGGAGACTTTCAGGTGTGCTGGCTATGAATGTACTTGAGGCTGGAGAACTGGCTAGAGAAGGAGAGACTTTCAGGTGTGCTAGCTATGAATGCACTTGAGGTTGGAGAACTGGCTAGAGAAGGAGAGACTTTCAGGTGTGCTGGCTATGAATGTACTGAGGCTGGAGAACTGGCTAGAGAAGGGGAGACTTTCAGGTGTGCTGGCTATGAATGTACTTGATGCTGGAGAACTGGCTAGAGAAGGGGAGACTTTCAGGTGTGCTGGCTATGAATGTACTTGAGGCTGGAGAACTGGCTGGAGAAGGGGAGACTTTCAAGTGTGCTGGTTATGAATGCACTTGAGGCTGGAGAACTGGCTAGAGAAGGGGAGACTTTCAGGTGTGATGGCTATGAATGCACTTAAGCCTGGAGAACTGGCTGGAGAAGGGGAGACTTTCAGGTGTGCTGGCTATGAATGTACTGAGGCTGGAGAACTGGCTAGAGAAGGGGAGACTTTCAGGTGTGCTGGCTATGAATGTACTTGATGCTGGAGAACTGGCTAGAGAAGGGGAGACTTTCAGGTGTGCTGGCTATGAATGTACTTAAGCCTGGAGAACTGGCTGGAGAAGGGGAGACTTTCAGGTGTGCTGGTTATGAATGTACTTGAGGCTGGAGAACTGGCTAGAGAAGGAGAGACTTTCAGGTGTGCTGGTTATGAATGTACTTGAGGCTGGAGAACTGGCTAGAGAAGGAGAGACTTTCAGGTGTGCTGGTTATGAATGTACTTGAGGCTGGAGAACTGGCTAGAGAAGGAGAGACTTTCAGGTGTGCTGGTTATGAATGTACTTGAGGCTGGAGAACTGGCTAGAGAAGGGTAGACTTTCAGGTGTGCTGGCTATGAATGTACTTGAGGTTGGAGAACTGGCTAGAGAAGGGGAGACTTTCAGGTGTGCTGGCTATGAATGTACTTGAGGCTGGAGAACTGGCTAGAGAAGGGGAGACTTTCAGGTGTGCTGGTTATGAATGTACTTGAGGCTGGAGAACTGGCTAGAGAAGGAGAGACTTTCAGGTGTGCTGGCTATGAATGTAATTAAGCCTGGAGAACTGGCTAGAGAAGGGGAGACTTTCAGGTGTGCTGGCTATGAATGTACTTAAGCCTGGAGAACTGGCTGGAGAAGGGGAGACTTTCAGGTGTGCTGGCTATGAATGTACTTAAGCCTGGAGAACTGGCTGGAGAAGGGGAGACTTTCAGGTGTGCTGGCTATGAATGTACTGAGGCTGGAGAACTGGCTAGAGAAGGGGAGACTTTCAGGTGTGCTGGTTATGAATGTACTTGAGGCTGGAGAACTGGCTAGAGAAGGGGAGACTTTCAGGTGTGCTGGCTATGAATGTACTTGAGGCTGGAGAACTGGCTAGAGAAGGAGAGACTTTCAGGTGTGCCGTGATGAGAACAATGTTCTGAAAAGGACCTGATGATGAATGAATGGGATATAAAAAGTCAAAGTAATGCCTGAAACAACTTCTTCTTCTTTGCGTTTGGTTTCGTGTGCTCAGATCAGGTGGGTTGCCTCTATGAACTCGCATGTCAGCTGCAGGTCCTTCATGGTTCCCCATAGCCTGCTCTGCACACTTTGCCCTTGAGGCCAGGTGTCTTTTCAAAGTTGTAGGTAGAGTGGGCAGGTCTGCAGAATGTGCTCAGGTGTGTGTGTGTGGTCCTGTTTGGCAGGCACACTGTGGGGACTGTAAAGTCTTTATTTTATGCATATGGCTGTTGTGCCTATAGTGTCCTGTTCTTAGATGGAAAAGTGTTGTGTGTTTGTGTGTTGCTTTCTGTTGAGTCTGCTGATGGGGTTTTGCGAATGTTTACTATTTGTTTGTTCTCTCCACAATTCTTTGTATTTTCCCTTGATAAGTGTTCTGATTTCTAGCAATGACAATGAATGGGTGTGTTGTTTATCCTTTATTCCATTTTGTTCACTATACTAGGGCCCGAAACTGAAAGAGCTAACAACATATCTGAGAAATGTTCACTTACTAGGCTTGTCAGGAGTCTTGACAAAGTGCTGAGATGTGAACGATTTCCCATCTGGATATTTGGGGTGTGCTGGGAGACGGGAGTCCAGGTAGCAGCAGAACAAATGCATCACAAGCTGCAAGTGATTGTCACAAAACAAAGGGTACTGATTGTCACAAAACAAAGGGTACTGATTGTCACAAAACAAATGGTATAAACAGCATTCGGATGTAACTCCATTTAATCATCATCATGTGCCAACTCCATTTATTCATCATCATGTGCCATGTTTGAAAGCCCAAGCTGTCATGTTTTGCCACTTTATACAGTTTGGTCAGTGTTGACCCCTCCCACCCCAATCACTGGGGCTAACCCTCCATGCAGGTATTTGCTTATTTTCCTTCCTCATGCTTTTATTCCGTCAATTTTGCCAGTTGTTTCCAAGTTCTCAAGTATACTCCTTCTCATGACATGTTTAAAAAAAAAAACACACACACACACAGACTGACTATGTCTAACTGTTCTGACCAGTTACTGACTTACATTTTCTAGTATAAGTTAAGGGGAAAGAACAGAAATAAACAAAACAAAAAAGTGGCAGGGGAAACAAAACCTGACTTACATTTTCTAGTATAAGTTAAGGGGAAAGAACTGAAATAAACAAAACAAAAAAGTGGCAGGGGAAAAAAAACCTGACTTAAAATGGATCTAGCACTATACATCTAATACACATAATCACAAGAAAAAGGAACAATTATTTTACTTTCATTGGCAACAAAAAAGATGAAAGCATCAGATTTTTCCGAAAAATGTTTGCTTAGTGAATCAAAAAGAATATCAAGTTAGAGATGGATCTAAGCAGCATTGTCCTTAACAAAAAACTATCTGGTACCATTATAGCTGTATTAATCCTGAAGTTGCATGTAGTAAACAAAAAAAAAAAAAAAAACCTATTCTCATCTGGGTACTGAATCCAGTAGACCATACCCTGCTCTCTATAGAGTCTGCCATACTGGAGATGGAACTCAGCGCACTATTTCCTACTCTACTAGGGACTGAACTCAGTGCAGGATTTTCTACTCTACTAGGGACTGAACCCAGTGCAGGATTTCCTGCTCTACTAGGGACTGAACCCAGTGCAGGATTTCCTGCTCTACTAGGGACTGAACTCAGTGCAGGATTTCCTACTCTACTAGGGACTGAACTCAGCGCACTATTTCCTGCTCTACTAGGGACTGAACTCAGCGCACTATTTCCTGCTCTACTAGGGACTGAACTCAGCGCAGGATTTCCAGCTCTACTAGGGACTGAACTCAGTGCAGGATTTCCTGCTCTACTAGGGACTGAACTCAGTGCAGGATTTCCTGCTCTACTAGGGACTGAACTCAGTGCAGGATTTCCTGCTCTACTAGGGACTGAACTCAGTGCAGGATTTCCTACTCTACTAGGGACTGAACTCAGTGCAGGATTTTCTACTCTACTAGGGACTGAACCCAGTGCAGGATTTCATGCTCTACTAGGGACTGAACTCAGTGCAGGATTTCCTGCTCTACTAGGGACTGAACTCAGTGCAGGATTTCCTACTCTACTAGGGACTGAACTCAGCGCACTATTTCCTGCTCTACTAGGGACTGAACCCAGTGCAGGATTTCCTGCTCTACTAGGGACTGAACCCAGTGCAGGATTTCCTGCTCTACTAGGGACTGAACTCAGTGCAGGATTTCCTGCTCTACTAGGGACTGAACTCAGTGCAGGATTTCCTGCTCTACTAGGGACTGAACTCAGTGCAGAATTTCCTGCTCTACTAGGGACTGAACTCAGTGCAGAATTTCCTGCTCTACTAGGGACTGAACCCAGTGCAGGATTCTCTGCTCTACTAGGGACTGAACCCAGTGAAGGAAATCCTGCTCTACCAGAGACTGAACTCAGTGCAGGATTTCCTACTCTACTGGTGACTGAACTTAGTGCAGGATTTACTACTCTACTGGTGACTGAACTTAGTGCACTATTTTTCTTATCTACTAGGGAATGAACCCACTGCACCAATCTACTGCTCTACCAAGAACTGTACCCACTGCACAATTCCCTGCTCTACTTGGGACTGAACCCAGTGCAGTCCTGCTCTACTGGGGACTTAACCCAATGCTCTAATGAATGTGAACCAAGTGTACCATCTCCTGCTTTAATAAAGAGTGAACCCAGTGCAACATCTCCTGCTCTAATAAAGAGTGAACCCAGTTTAACATATCTTGCTCTAATAAAGAGTGAACCCAGTGCAACTCTCCTGCTCTAATAAAGAGTGAACCCAGTGCAACATCTCCTGCTCTAATAAAGAGTGAACCCAGTGCAACATCTCCTGCTCTAATAAAGAGTAAACCCAGTGCAACATCTCCTGCTCTAATAAAGAGTGAACCCAGTGCAACATCTCCTGCTCTAATAAAGAGTGAACCCAGTGCAACATCTCCTGCTCTAATAAAGAGTAAACCCAGTGCAACATCTCCTGCTCTACTGAAGAGTGAACCCAGTGCAACATCTCCTGCTCTACTGAAGAGTGAACCCAGTGCAACATCTCCTGCTCTATTAAAGAGTCAACTCAGTGCAGGATTTCCTACTCTACCAGAGACTGAACTCAGTGCAGGATTTACTACTCTACTGGTGACTGAACTTAGTGCACTATTTTTCTTATCTACTAGGGAATGAACCCAGTGCACCAATCTACTGCTCTACCAAGAACTGTACCCACTGCACAATTCCCTACTATACTTGGGACTGAACCCAGTGCAGTCCTGCTCTACTGGGGACTTAACCCAATGCACCATCTCCTGCTCTAGTAAAGAGTGAACCCAGTGCAACATCTCCTGCTCTAATAAAGAGTGAACCCAGTGCAACATCCCCTGCTCTAATGAATAGTGAACCAAGTGTACCATCTCCTGCTCTTATAAAGAGTGAACCCAGTGCAACATCTCCTGCTCTAATAAAGAGTGAACCCAGTGCAACATCCTGCTCTACTGAAGAGTGAACCCAGTGCAACATCTCCTGCTCTAATAAAGAGTGAATCCAGTGCAACATCTCTTGCTCTACTAAAGAGTGAACCCAGTGCAACATCTCCTGCTCTACTGAAGAGTGAAACCAGTGCAACATCTCCTGCTCTACTGAAGAGTAAACCCATGGCAACATCTCCTGCTCTACTGAAGAGTGAACCCAGTGCAACATCTCCTGCTCTACTGAAGAGTAAACCCAGGGCAACATCTCCTGCTCTACTGAAGAGTGAACCCAGTGCAACATCTCCTGCTCTACTGAAGAGTGAACCCGGTGCAACATCTTCTGCTCTACTGAAGAGTGAACCCAGTGCAACATCTCCTGCTCTACTGAAGAGTGAACCCAGAGCAACATCTCCTGCTCTATTAAAGAGTCAACTCAGTGCAACATCTCCTGCTCTATTAAAGAGTCAACTCAGTGCAACATCTGCTCTATAGAAGAGTGAAACCAGTGCAACAACTACTGAAGAGTCAACTCAGTGCAACATCTGCTCTACTCCAACATCTCCTGGTCTACAGAGGACTAAACCCAACGCCTTATCTCTACCTCCACAAAATATCAAAACCAAAGTTTCCATTATCAGAATATAAATATTTTGTGCTCATGTAGAATTTATAAACATTCATAATACAATTACAAAAATGCATGCAATGTTTATAAACACAAAGCAAGCATCACGTATTAACTCAGGGGCTAGCTTCACATTTTCAGAAAAACATCCAAGAACAACAACTCACTGCAGCATCTGTTGGCAAGTGCTCGCCCCAGGGTTTGCCATAGTTACCACCCCTGTCCCAAGTAAATGCACTCATACTGCCAGTGTTGAGATCTGCAACAAAGAAAACAATCAATCTCTTTAACAACAGGACATCAAGCAAACCCTGAAGGCTATGCTGACAAGCTGCCATGAATAAACATATATGTTTATTTTACTTTTCTTTATATAGGAACAAAACACAATATGTTTTGTATGTACGTTTAATTTACTTTAATGTTTATGTGAACAAAACGCTATGTTTTGTATGTTTTCTTCTTCTTCCTCTTCAGAAGTACGAGCCCTTGAGGTTCATTAATGCAGATACCGCCCGCCTCCATTAATCTCTCTGGCTGGTTTTCACTTTCCAGTTGGACACTAAGTGTTTGCAGGTCTGTCTGGATATTATCTCTCCACTGTCTTTTTGGTCCGCCTCATGGTCTACGACCATTCATCTCCCTTGTGTTTACAGTTTTTAACCTCTCTGTCATCTGACATTCTCTCAATATGTCCCAACCTTTTTAGTCTATTAGCTCTCATGATGCCAGTGATCAATGGTGATTTAAACAGATTATGAATTTCGTTGTTGCTTCTCACTCTCCATTCCCCCGCTGTCTGCATCTCAGGTGGGTCCAAAAATTCATTGCAAGACCTGTTTTTGAAAATTTGTAATAAGGCTTCATCTCTTTTAGTTGTGCTCCAAGTTTCCGGGCCATATAAAAGGACTGGTCTTATAAAAGTTTATATATTTTTATCTTGGCGTTGCAAGATAGAGACTCTGACTTTAGCAGATGTTGAAGGGCATAGTATACTTTATTTCCAGATTGTATTCTAGATTGTATTTCTGATTTTATATGAGAGGGAGAGAACACAGTGCATGTTTTCTTCTTTTCACTGATATTCACTAGACACATTTATGACCATTCATCTGACAGTGATAAGGCTTGATGCATCATACTGTTAGCTGTAGTAATATTTTCTTTGCTAGTTTATATAGCTAAGTCGTCTGCAAGGGACAAGGTGTAAACTCTGCCTGTAAAATTATTCAGTGTCATTTATATATATTTTACGAACAATGTTGGTGACAATACCCCCCTCACCCCGATACACCTTGCTCTAGCCCCCTTTTTGGGGGGCTAGTTTGTCCTCTCATTTTTGTCCTGTCATTGACCCATCAGTAAATTTTCCCCACAAACATGCATTTTTTGTAATTTTACTTTCAGTCCTTCCTTCCATACTTTATCACATGCTTTTTCTAAGTCTACTCATCTGTTAGTATATGATTTTTGTCCTGGAGAGCATCCTCTATTTTATGGGCTATATGTGTTAGTTGGTCTTCAGCGGATCTGTTCTGTCTAAATCCTGCCTGTTATGGAGTCAGTAGGTGCTTTTCTTCTAGATGCCCCATTAATCTGTTATTTATAATGCATCCATCAATTTCCCTACACAGCTAAGTAAGCCGATTGGTCGATAGGCATTTGGTTCTACTGGGTCTTTTCCTTTCTTCTGGACTGGTATAAGTATAGCTTCCTTCCATGTCACAGGCACTATTCCCCTCTTCCAACTGCAATTAAAGACTGCTAATATTGCCTTTTTGCCCTAGTACCCCGTCTTATTATCATTTCATTTGTGATCTCATCCTTCCCTAGTGATTTCTTCTTCTTCTTTTTCTTTTTTAGGAAACTCACTGTACCAGCTCTTCCATATTTAAATTGTCCATCATAAATTCTGACTTCACTACATTATTATGACATGGCTGTCGCTCTTTCATTGATTTTTTCATGTTCTGCTGTGACATCAATGTGGTTTGCACTAGCACAGTATTCCATAAATGTATTGGCAGCCTTTTTTTTTCTTCCTGTTAGTATGTTGTTAGCATTTTACAAATCAAAGAATATTTTATGCAAACTTTCTTTGTCAATTGAGACGAGAAAGAGAATGATTAAAATTTTTTAAATCCTATATTGATATCTGGTTGTGAATCATGGACAGTAAATTAGTGAAAACTTATTTAGAAGCTGTGGTTTTAAAGACGAATGATGAAAATACCAACGACAAATAAAAACTAGTCATGAAGACGTCTTGAACTTGAAAGAAACTCACGAAGAGAACTGATTGCTCACATCAGAAAGAGACAAACAACATTCTTTTGTCATGTGATGAGAAGGAGAAAACTGGAGTACATCATGACGTTAGGAAAGTTGGAGGGGAGGAGAGGCAGAGGGACACCGAGAGAACAGATGCTGGACAGTTCGACATCATGGCATGGAAGATCATTTGTAATAGGGCTGACTAAAAGTACACGAGAGAGAAGTCTGTGGACAGATATGACTACCAACACCATACGGCGTCGACTTTAAATATGTTATTACCCTGTTTAATAGTTTATTGTTTCTAACTGGGTCCTTCACTGCTCATGGCTTTTACTGGTTTCCACAATTTGTTCCCATCTTTGTCTAACTTCAGGCTTTATGTTTTTTCTTGCCAGGTATTTCTGATTAAATGTTCTTCTGTATTTTGCTGAGATGGCTTGCAGTGAAATGTTTGCTTCAGTTGTGTGTTCTCTCTCTCTGCTGTCTTCCTGGCCTCTTCAACTTTTCCCTCTAGAATATGTAGTTCTTTGTTCCAGTATGATTTGTAATTTTCTTGAACTTCTTGGAATGCACTCTTATGCTGCTTGCAGTACTGCTTTGTTCAGACTGTCCACTACTGTCTGCATGTTGCCATATCGTGTGTTTATGTTTTTACAGTACTTGTCTGTGAGCAAAGCAAATTTATCCCAATCAGCTCATTTGTAATTCCAGTGAGACAATTGTTTCTGTTCCTATGGGATATATAATTCATATTTACAAGTTCCACTAGTCTGTGATTGCTGCCTGCTAACTTATCTAGTATAATGCAAACAGTTTTGTGAAGAATGTCACTCGTGTGGTAGGTTAAGTCAAGTCAGGAGGAGTGGAAGTTTTACACTTTCTAAAGTAGGAGCTGGGTTTGTCGATTAAATGGAGATTGAAGTCTATTTTCCCAGTCCTCCACTTCCCCTCCTCTGGTGTCAGTATCTGGGTATCCCCATCTTTGTGAGCTTCTATTAGTCCTATACAATTTAGAGCTCCATATTTTGTTCAAGCTTTTAAAAGTTGATGATGCCTTGCTAATGTGCATCCTAATTTCTTTCTTTGTATTTCCTCGACTATCAAAATTACTACCTAAATAAGTAAACCGATCAGTTACATTGATTCTTTTTGTCTCTAGTGTTACATCTGCTTGATCTGTTATTGGTGTCTTCAATATAAATTCATATCATATAAGCTGTTATACTTACCCTTAATTCTGTTTCGGAGATATTCTTGATTGGGACAGAAATCCATGTAGGCTACAACACTGTTCAGTGTTGGAACATAAGTCCCCTTTGTTAAGGCCAACTGCTTCAACACGGAAACTCCAACTTCTGAAAAAAAAAAAAAAAAAAAACTCTTGTGGGTACAGTAGAACAGTCTGTAATGTAGTGGATTCCGGGTCACTGTGGCTTGGAAGGCAATGAAATAGCTTGGAAGGCAATGAAATAGCTTGGAAGGCAATGAAATAGCAGACAGATTGGTCAAAAGCAGCAGTAACATGGTACAATAAAATAGCGACTTAACCCACCAAGAGACTAAGACATTAACATAATATAGTATCCCCCCCAAAAAAAGTGACTGGATACACACACCAAATTCTCTCCTCATGACTTACTTCATCGCTGTTCTAGAGAGGGACAATGTATTATATTCATGCTAAGGTCAGGACACAACAGACTTTGTCAACAAAATATGTACAACACTTTTTGGTGTAGGAAACCAGAGACGTGTCCCTGTAGTGTACCACCAGAAAATGCTGAGCCTGTGCTCCAACACTGTCAACTGCATGCTGCCAGCTGAGATGAGCTTGTGCTCCAACAATGTCAACTGCATGCTGCCAGCTGAGATGAGCTTGTGCTCCAACAATGTCAACTGCATGCTGCCAGCTGAGATGAGCTTGTGCTCCAACAATGTCAACTGCATGCTGCCAGCACACAATCTAGCCTGTTCCAACCACAATGAAGACAAAACTGTATGGTACACGAGAGGATATGAACTGCACGATAGCTTTCACAAAGGCTACCCGTCTCCTAATATAAGTTTTCTGATAGAAGGATTGAAGAAGAAGAGTTAGAGTTTCTGCCTCTTCTTCTTATTCATCATTCCGGGCCCTTGAGGTTCACTGCTGCAGATATCACTAGCCTCCATTCATCTCTCTGGTTGGCCTTCTCTTTCCAGTTGGTGACACCAAGTGTTTGCAGGTCTGTTGGACATTATCTCTCCATCGTCTTCTTGGTCTGCCTCGTGGTCTACGACCCTTCGTCTCTCTGGTTGGCCTTCTCTTTCCAGTTGGTGACACCAAGTGTTTGCAGATCTGTCTGGACATTATCTCTCCATCGTCTTCTTGGTCTACCTTGTGGTCTGCAACCATTATCTCCCTGGTGTATACAGTTTTCACTTCTCTGTCATCTGACATTCTCTCAATATGCCCCAACCATTTCAGTCTTAGCATTTACCAGTTGTAAATTTCAGTGGAAAGTTACAGTTCTTCGTCACCTTCTGGATTATGGTCTTGTGCTTTATCTTGAGCAACATTTTTTTTTTTCAGTTCTGGCTTGGCATATTTATGTGCACTATTGTTTCCTTGCCTCACAGGCAGATCTAATCTGACTTCAAAGGATACACTCAATTCGTTGCCTTTTCAGACATACTTGTGGGGGTTTATAATACCCCTCTCCCAAAATGGGGCCTCATGGAACCCACAGGTGGATGTTATAATGTAACATGTCGAGTTTCTTTTTCATCTTGCTTTTTTTTTCCATCTGGCCTTAGAACAGACCTTAATGAGCTGCTTTTTCTGACCTTAAAATATACCTTTATGAGCCATTTCAATGGCCTTGAACAGACCTTTTTGAGCTGTTTTATCTAGCCTTAAAATAGACTTTTATGAGGTGTTTTATGTGACCTTAGAACAGACCTTTATGAGCTGTTTTATGTGACCTCAGAACATACCTTTATGAGCTGTTTTATCTGACCTTAGAACATACCTTTATGAGCTGTTTTATCTGACCTTAGAACATACCTTTATGAGCTGTTTTATGTGACCTTAGAACATACCTTTATGAGCTGTTTTATGTGACCTTAGAACAGACCTTTATGAGCTGTTTTATTGACCTTAGAACAGACCTTTATGAGCTGTTTTATTTGACCTTAGAACAGACCTTTATGAGCTGTTTTATTTGACCTTAGAACAGACCTTTATGAGCTGTTTTATTTGACCTTAGAACAGACCTTTATGAGCTGTTTTATTTGACCTTAGAACAGACCTTTATGAGCTGTTTTATTTGACCTTAGAACAGACCTTTATGAGCTGTTTTATTTGACCTTAGAACAGACCTTTATGAGCTGTTTTATGTGACCTTAGAACAGACCTTTATGAGCTGTTTTATTTGACCTTAGAACATACCTTTATGAGCTGTTTTATCTGACCTTAGAACAGACCTTTATGAGCTGTTTTATGTGACCTTAGAACACACCTTTATGAGCTGTTTTATCTGACCTTAGAACATACCTTTATGAGCTGTTTTATCTGACCTTAGAACATACCTTTATGAGCTGTTTTATGTGACCTTAGAACATACCTTTATGAGCTGTTTTATCTGACCTTAGAACATACCTTTATGAGCTGTTTTATGTGACCTTAGAACATACCTTTATGAGCTGTTTTATCTGACCTTAGAACATACCTTTATGAGCTGTTTTATGTGACCTTAAAACATACCTTTATGAGCTGTTTTATTTGACCTTAGAACATACCTTTATGAGCTGTTTTATGTGACCTTAGAACATACCTTTATGAGCTGTTTTATCTGACCTTAGAACATACCTTTATGAGCTGTTTTATGTCACCTTAGAACATACCTTTATGAGGTGTTTTATCTGGCCTTAGAACATACCTTTATGAGCTGTTTCAATGGCCTTAGAATAGACCTTTTTGAGCTGTTTCAATGGCCTTAGAATAGACCTTATGAGCTGTTTTATCTAGCCTTAGAACAGACCTTTATGAGCTGTTTTATCTGCCCTTAGAACAGACCTTAATGAGCTGCTTTTTCTGACCTTAAAATAGACCTTTATGAACCATTTCAATTGCCTTAGAACAGACCTTTTTGAGCTGTTTTATTTAGCCTTAGAATAGACCTTTATGAGCTGTTTTATTTAGCCTTAGAACAGACGTTTATGAGCTGTTTTATCTGGCTTAGAACAGACGTTTATGAGCTGTTTTATCTGGCCTTAGAAACACCTTTATGAGCTGTTTCAATGGCCTTAGAATAGACCTTTTTTGAGCTGTTTCAATGGCCTTAGAATAGACCTTATGAGCTGTTTTATCTAGCCTTAGAACAGACCTTTATGAGCTGTTTTATCTGCCCTTAGAACAGACACCTTATGAGCTGTTTTATCTGCCCTAGAACAGACCTTTATGAGCTGTTTTATCTGACCTTAAAACAGACCTTATGAGCTGTTTTATCTGACCCTAGAACAGACCTTTATGAGCTGTTTTATCAAAGGAATTTGAAGGATTCTTATGTAAAACCACATATCTAGGGTCTCAAGAAATAGTTTAACTTGTTTATTAATTGTCCTAGATTCATAGCCACATGTTGAAACTGGAAAGGCAACCCTACCGGTCTAGCATGCTAATTAACAATTCTGCAATATTATGGGACAACTAAAACCTGTCTAGACTACTCAAGCTTCTTATAGCCAATAAATGTTTACCTTTCTTTCTACATAACCAATGAACATATCAAAAGTTACGGCCTGTTTCAATATGAACAAACAAAAGCATACAAAATAAGCAGTAACAAACTTACCCCCAACCTGCGTGTCTTCACATCCTATCTTTCGCAGAGATGCATTTACTTCATCTATCTCCGCATTCAAACGGGAAACAATAGTGAAACTGATCCACTGCAAAACACAATAAATAAATTCAACATTTCTGTCATAACTGCTCATCATCATCAACCCATAACACTACGTGTCCTTGGGTCACCAGTTTCTGTTGACTGTCTGATCAGCTCTCTCCACCTTTGGCGGTCAGTTGCGATGGACTTCATGGTTGATTGCCTGAGGCCTGTCCAGTCAGTCAGGTTCTGTAACCAGGTCTTTCTTGGTTGGCCTCTTTTCCTCTTTCCCTCTACTGAGCCCTGCAGTATTGTTTTTGAGAGGCCGTTAGATCTTATTACATGCCCATACCATTGCATTTTTCACCTTTTTGCTGTAGTTGAAAGAGGTTTATAGTTGCCAAAAACTGCTAGCCACGGTTTTATTCATATTTCAATGTTTCTGCACATATGATTGTAGTTTGTAGACAATAAAAATATTGAAAACCTCCAGAAAAACATTACCAATTGAGATCAAAATATAGCCAGCCTGTGGGATATTAAATTATGTCTTGGCAATGCCTGATCTGTAGTTGTTAACTCTTTCGCTCCATAAAGCAGCTAAACTGCCACTGCCGTCTGCCACACATCGCACTAGCCAGTCCCTGAAATACAGAGTTAACTGCACTGGTTCTGTTTGCACCTGTGCAGTGTTTAAGAGGACCAGGTATGAAAACATTGACTAAAATGAGTATCTGGAAGGTTTGATTGCGAAGAATGACATTGTTTTAGTCATTATGACATCTTAATTTCCTTCAGCATTTAGTAATCAGGGCCATAAGGCTATGCATAAGTCACTGTATTAACAATTTATTTTTAGGCCCAAAAATAACTGCAGTAATTTAATTCTCTGCTTCATTCAGTCTTATTGTTTACATGCCTTCAATTTTTGTTTAAAGTAAAACATGCATTAAAAAAAAATTATTAGTGATGTGTTTTAATAGATTTGTGTGGGTCCGTGGGTCTTTCTACCAATGGTTACTGTGGGCAAGAGGATTCAGTTTCAAAAACGGTCTTGCACGCCCTAGCTAGTTTCTGGGTTTGGAAACAGAAAGGACAGCTAATTCAACTTCCATGGAGTTTAGCTAAGAATTGACATCAAAGCACTCTGGACATTCCCACAAGCACTCCATCCTCATCTTCAGCAGCCACAGTACTTCAGTACCAGGTCAGGAGGACAGTCTCTACACCAACCTCGCTTCGATACAAGGTAGGTACTTTAGTCAAATTTTCAAAATGCCCTCTACACCAATAAAGCACAGTTAGATAGCTGTAAACAATCTCTTTCCAACGGTACCTCATTTAGGCTTGTATGTCATTTCTGAGCTGAGATATGTAGGTTTTTGTGGAGATGAGATGTAGAAAGCAGCTGCTAAAACTTGCCTCCCAGAAACAAGAGGTTTTCTCTGCGCAACCAAACTGCGCAACTTTCGTTTTGGCTTTGTTTACATTGGACTGTCATTGGACAAGATGGCAGCCAATGAGACACAGCCACTGGCTGAGCCAGCGATTGCCTAAAAAATGTCACTGTACATCTACCTAGCCACGGACCAGAAAGAAATTTTTATACACAAATGTAAAAATGGTCGGAGAATTCAATTATAACTAGCATTACCAGTGCCAGTAACAGTTAAAGCCTAAAGCCAACCTTGAATACTTAGCGCTATTTTCAACCAAACTGATGTAACACAAAAAAACAGAGGACGTCCGACTGTTGTAGACATGCGCTGTTAATCGGGTTCCTTCCCGCTGTGTTCAGCTATTTAGAGTGGGTGAAAATCACACCAATCGCAAAATTTCATCCCGAAACCCCAGCCGACATTTCCGAAGCAAGTTTCGAACGGTTACCGTGGTAACGGAAATTGCCAAAAGATCGCAAATTTCCGGACACTCTAGTCGCTATACAAGCAAACCATTGTCAGGGCCTAAATGATCTCAAAGGCAATGCACCGACTTTAAGCATTAAAATATTTGTTTATGCATAATTCCATCAACTAGCCAACCATTTATATTTCAAATACTACTTTCTTATAAAGTGTAGACTGCTTAAGGTGATCTTAGAAGTGGCAAATTTCTGTTATGAAGAACAATTTGTTTATCCCCAGCAATTTTTCTCACTTGAATTCTTATCTGAATAAGAGAAATTTCTGATAAGAAGAACCATGTCTTAGGTCTCAGTGAGTTTTACTTATCAGGTCTACACTGTGTATGTTTTAATATAACTCAAACGTCTTCTTCTAGGTTTGCCCTTCAAAGGATGGTTGTACTCTTTGTGTTGAGGTTTACAGCTAGGCTGTAATAATCACCTTTGGCCAACACATTCAATTTCAGCAAACAATAAGACACCTTTCGCACAATTCTTGCTAAGAGTGTAGTGAGTCATTTTCTCCCCATTAAGTTATGCCCGATAGATGACGTCAGTAATAAATGTAAAGCGAATGTTTTGACTGAGATAACACGAGATTTATGTCTTGAGTTTCATGAGAGACATCTGAAAGTCAGGTTTTATGTGAAACATGATTGTTCACGTGAACCATGAAGGTTGACTGGCAGGATTCGTGTGAAATGCGAATTATCACGGGCCAGACACGACTTTCAACGGTGAAATTATCCAGAATATTCGAGAACAGGACAGATCAGAGGGCTATATAATAGCGAAGAAAAGGTTTGTGAGGCAGTCTCGTTTAGGCCAAGGGAAAGGTGTACGTGTGAAAAAGTTCGGAAGAATGTTGACGTCTGAATAGCGTGATTTCCCAATGCCTACCTAGCATAAAATAGCGGCTGACGGAAACGGTGGCCAGCTGTGAATGACTGTCGTATGGATGGAGGGAGCTGCTGTTTTCGCTAAGTGTGTATATTCTATGATGTTACAAAGGTATGATTGACGGTTTAGAGCATTGATGAGTGATATTGTCGTAATTAAAACATTTACTGACTGCAACATCAGCGAGTGAAAATAAACAGTACGTGTAACTTTTGAACGTCTGCCAGCGTCCATGTTTTCTCGTTCTTGTCAGTTGGTGAATGGAAAGATGCGGTGACTCATTCGAGCCAGCAATTAATAACAATGAAGATCACTGCAAAGAGGTAGTGGGTCTACACCCCCCCCCCCCCCCACTCCTCCCGACTGATGAAGAAGATTGTGTAATGGTCCCTGTTTCAAATCCACATGCCCACACAGGCAGCTTTGGGAGAAAGTTGACACTCTAGAGAATTTTTCATTTCTTCAAACCGCTATTTGTTTACTGGTGTATTACTTACTTTACTTTTACTTTTTCCTTCCACGTATGCCGCTAAGCGTTGTGGGGAGATGCAAGTTCCTGTCGTAAGCAAGGCGGGCAGCATCTGATGTTCTGAGGCCATGCTTTTGGCAGGTTTCGGAGACCCCGTCAATCCACCGTTTCCTTGGTCTTCCTCTTGCCTTATATCCTGAGCTTCTTTGGTTGAAAATTTGCGATGTTATTTGATCATTATTCATCCTGGTTAGATGTCCAAACCATTTCATTCTTTGATGTTCTATGTAGTCTAAACATGGTGTAGTTTTGACAGTGTTTCTAATGTCTATATTCTTTATCCTGTCTAGTCTGGTCTTGTTCGCTGCTTTTCTTAGACATTTCATTTCACAGGCTTCTATTTTTCTTTCGTGGGTCTTGTTGATTGTCCATACTGGTGTAATATTAGCTCTTAATCTTAAAACCGACATAAAGTTGGGCACAAGATACAAGTGACTCCTTGAGTATGAAAGTACATGAGGCGGGAGAGCTGGCGAGAGACTGAGTTTCTTTCAGGCAGCCTGTGATGAGAGCAACATTCTGCAAAGGACCTGCTACATGATGATGATGAATCCTTAAACCGAACATGAGAGTATAACTCCCTGCATCCGATATTTTTAAAAATGCAATGTAGATTTCTTTCACTGCATCCCATCAGGACTTGCAGTTACTGACCGCTTCTTGTACCCATGATTTCTTTCCCTGCATCCCATCAGGACTTGCAGTTACTGACCACTTCTTGTACCCATGATTTCTTTCACTGCATCCCACTAGGACTTGCAGTTACTGACCGCTTCTTGTGCCCATGATTTCTTTCACTGCATCCCTTCAGGACTTGCAGTTACTGACCACTTCTTGTACCCATGATTTCTTTCACTGCATCCCATCAGGACTTGCAGTTACTGACCACTTCTTGTACCCATGATTTCTTTCACTGCATCCCATCAGGACTTGCAGTTACTGACCACTGCTTGTACCCATGATTTCTTTCACTGCATCCCATCAGGACTTGCAGTTACTGACCACTTCTTGTACCCATGATTTCTTTCACTGCATCCCTTCAGGACTTGCAGTTACTGACCGCTTCTTGTACCCATGATTTCTTTCCCTGCATCCCTTTAGGACTTGCAGTTACTGACCACTTCTTGTACCCATGATTTCTTTCACTGCATCCCATCAGGGCTTGCAGTTACTGACCACTTCTTGTACCCATGATTTCTTTCACTGCATCCCTTCAGGACTTGCAGTTACTGACCACTTCTTGTACCCATGATTTTTTTTATCACAATAGCCAGCACTTACTTTTCTTAATTTCTCAATCCAGACACAGAGATCACTTTCACTGACATCATATTTATTCCACACCTGTATAAAAGAGATAGATATGATAATATGCATATTGTGAATATCAAGAAACAACACAAAAGCATGGGTGGTAAAATGCATGCACACACTAGCGCAAACACACACTCGCGCAGACCCATTTACTTAAACACGCATATATACACACCCATATACATTCACACACACAAACAAACTCACACCCATTCACCCACATACATACCTACCTACACACACATGCACACACAGACACAACCACAGAAACAAACACAGACATACAAACAAACAAACAAACAAACACACATAGGCGCACAGACACAAATGCAGACACACAAACCTGCAGACATACAAACCCGCAAACACACGCACAGATGCAGACAAACACACAAACAGATACACGCAGACATACATACAGACAGGCACACACAGGTAAATACCAACACAACAAAGACACCCACTGTCACATACATGTAGAACAGACAGACACGCAAACACACGCAGACACATACACACAGTCATACATGCAATAACACACTCATACAAGCAAACACACACACATACATTGACACACACCCACAGATGCACACATACAAACATGCACAGATACACACACATGCGCAGACACACAGGCAGACATGTACACACAGACACAAACAGAAACGCCCACAGAGACATATTCACACACAAAGCCACAGACAAACACGCACACGTAGACACAAAGGCACACACACACCCTAACACTCTATACTGTTCTGGCGTTCCCCACCAAGTCTTGAAGCCAACGAGATTGGGTAATCTAAAATTAAAGTGTCCAAAGCAGTCTACTGCCAAATCACCTGCAGATGAATTGAGCCAGGTATTTCAGAGTTATGAACTAAGCCACAGATGGATGTTATATGTAAACATAATCTAAATGTAATCTGGAAGATTAACACTCACATCTCCAATACCCTGGTTGGTTATCTGATCACTGGAGCTGTTCAAAGTTGGTGCTGTTGATGAACTAGGTGACAGCTGGTAGGTGAATTTACGGAATATCTGTGTAAAATCCAAGGGATTGAGGCCAAATGACAAGAAGGATAGGTTTCCTGCCGGCAGATTCTCAAGTGAAACTGAAAGAAATATATATGATTTCAAGAAAAGTCATCACCCACAAACTTAAAAAAAAAACATTATCAATATTTTATACTGCAGGACAATTTAACAGATCAGACAAATTTCATGAAATAAATACTAGAGCCTGGATTTGATGTGATGAGAGCTCTGGGAAGAAAGCACAATGGGAGGCATCCGATCAGCAGAAGCAGTTCCTCTTTTCTAAGGAAAGTAAAGAGGCTGAAATGAGATTGCACAAAAACTTAACTGATACTGCTGGCATTTAGACAGTCCAACTGAGACTCTGGAGTTCTTTGGTATTAGTTACAATTTAATGATAAGTAAAGAACTGACATCAAAGCACTAGGTATATTCCCATAAGCACTCCGTTCCCACCTTCAGCAGCCAGCACAGAGTTCCAATTCTTATGGATTCTGATAACAGTATGATTTTGAAGAAAGAAGACACAAACAGTAGATTGCACAATTTTTTGCCTGGCATATTTTTCTGTATCTAGTCAGGTGCACACTACATTAACCATTTCATAAATGAAGCAGATAAGTGAATCCTTTATAAGTAAAGTACAAATTTAACAATGTATGCACCTGACAAGATGCAGCGAAATATGCCAGGCAAGAAATTGTGCAGTCTATTGTTTGTGTCTTCTTTGTTCAAATTTACAAACGGGGAAACTTTGCTTTAATTTTCTGAAACAGAATGATTGTGTTCATCTTCCCTTCCTCCTGAGTGATGAGCGCCAGCCAGATCCCCCCTGCCACTCCTCATTGAACCATTCTTTTCAGATCATCTTACCTTTGCTCTGTTTACTCGCTCCTAGAATATCCTGTATTTTAGATAAAATAAAACAAATGCAAACAAAGAAACTAGTGAAGCTGGAAAGGGAGATGTTGAAAGAAATACGAAACAAGTGAAATAGTTGCTCATCTTATTCACCTTTTACCATCTCTGCATGTTTTTTTTTTCTTTTTGAGTTTCGCTTTATTTCTTTTGCAAAAGGAAGGATATTCCAGTTAAACTGTTACAGTGCAGATCTGACAAGGAGAATTCACTGGGGACCAAAGAACTAGTTTTTCTTCTCAGAAATTCTTCCTTTCCTGATAAGAAGTCAAGAAAGAAGAATTGCCAGGGATAAACATATTGTTCTTCACAACAGAAATTTGCCACATCTGAGATCACCTTAATAAGTGGTCTGCACTGTGTCAGGTTTTCTCAATGTTGGTTCTATCCTGATCCAGCATATTTTCCTCAGCTCCTGATACCCTGGAATAATGTTACTGATCACAAGCAACATAATTTGACATAGTGATCCATACATGTTTTGTTCTGAATGTATAAGTGTGATTTTTCCTTTTGAGCTAACAATGCTGGCCAAGGGAGGGATAATTCTGCATGGGCAACACATGGTCTCTCTACTGCCCAGGTTTTGTGCTACGGAGAGGAGGAACTTCATCCGTGGCCTTGGTACTGCCATGACTTCCCTGCCTCCCAACAGCACAATGGAATAGTGTAGTCTAGCAGGATGACAAAAGTGACCAATAACCATAGAATATTACCAGAGTTCTCAAAGTAGTCGCGCATATTTTTTCCTCATGATCACTGGATGTAAACTCTGGTACAAAGTTATGACTGTTTGCCTACATTTATACTTTGGATTTACTTATACATTCATCATAAATGATTACCCTGAGACTTAATGCGTTCCTTTTCATCCTCTTCATTTATGTAGCGGTGCAGGGTGTCAACGTCTGTGATGTGCTTGTATTTTGAAGCTGTGTGCCCGGCAGGGAAAGATTTTGGTGTTATGGAAAAACATGTATAAAAGTCATTTATTAAAAGTGTCCGGCACAACTCAAGTGTAATGTTAAAACAACACAACAGACAGACCCTATGTTACAAATGTGAGTTACAGGACCCCATTTTTGAGACATAAAAATAAACCAATGACCCCATAACAAGCATATCATAAAAGGTGACAAATTTGGGGGGTTTCCTTCACAGTTGGACTGCGTCTGCCTGAGATGCAAGGAACCAACAGTTTGCATACATATAAGCCAAATATGTCAAATTCATGCGAATGTCAAACTCAAGTTCGGGAACATGATGAAGTCCAGAGGTGGATGATCAACTATAATTTTCCGCTGGGGTTTACAGCAGGTGAGCAGGAAGAAAAAGAATCCCACCCGATGCCTTCGGTCGTCATGTAGCAGGTCCTTTCACAGCGTGGCTCTCATCGCCAGTTTTCCTGCCTCGAGCACTTTCACAAAAGGAGTCACTTATATCATGTGCCCATCTTGGAAAATTATTTATATTTTTCTAAACTGATCTATGCTCCCAGGTAGACCAAGCCTAAAAACTGTTACCAGGAAATGCTCTGGGAAGCAAAGATGACTACTCTGAAGTTGACCCATTACCAGTAGAGTAAGGCTCAGTCTAGAACAAGGGTTCCAATTAGCTAAAAATGGCAGACCCTTCTTAATGTCGGAGGTCTGCCGCAGACCCATAATTCTTAACAGTCTTATCGGAGTACTTGGACCCACACACAATATATCAGCTACTATTTTCAGATGATCAGTGCCTGTTCTACAATGATAGGAGTAGACTGCAGGAACATTTCTTCAGACTAAGTTCAGCATGCAGAAGAAAGAACATAAAAGTAAATACAACTAACACTGAAGTAATGCAGGTTAGCAGAGTTTCTTGTCCGTTACATATCGGCTTGAAAGGTACTTGTCTGAAGCAAGTTGAAGAATTTGAACATCTAGGAAGTTCTATTCTCGGAGGATGGGAGAATAGATCGGGAAACAGAAACAAGACACCAACAAGCCAGTGCACCCGTAAACCAATTAATTAACACTGTTATTAAGACATCCAAACATAAGTATGAAAGCCAAGCAACAGAATATAAACAGCATATTCTTATCAACACACTGCTACTAGTGACAGACTTGGGACATTATCAAAGGCTAGCCTACGTAAAATTAACAACTATGAAATTAGATGCCTGAGAAAGCCGCTAACTTGCCATCCAAAATAAAACTAGAAATGACATTATCGGACAGACTGTAGGAACAACAACATGCAGCAAACTCATGGAGAAGCAGAAGATGAAATGGTTTGGTCACTTAGTAAGAATCCAGCCAGAACAACTACCAATGCAGGTGCCACGCATGAAAAGATCTGATGTGAGAGCAAGAGGTCAGCCTAGGAGATGGACTGACGGCATTAAATAGCTTTTACATTGACAATGGCTACTGCTGCCCACCAAGCAATGGATCCGAACTGTACATCCCCATGATGTTTAGCAGCAGAGGTGGAAATTGTTGATGATGACTGGAGTATTTTATAAACATCAGAATCACAAAAAGAGTTACATTCTAATGCTGATGATTGTTTTTTTAAAATGATATTACTGACCCCCATAAAGTTGGGTTTTTGTGTGTGTAAATGATACTGACCCCCTTAAATTTGTCCTACAATAGACAGCTGATGTGGTTAGCATCCCTACTGTCTTGACTGCCAAAGACAATTCGAAAACCCATTTCATAAGGCAGTGCTGACCCCAGATATGTTATTGATTCAATAATCCCTCCTTTGCTGAAGACCCAAACTCCTGATACAACAAACCAGTCTACTTACCACCAAGCCGAAGAGCTTTGCTGAAGACCCAAACTACTGATACAATAAACCAGTCTACTTACCACCAAGCCAAAGAGTATGATGATTCACTTTTTAACCTATCTGTAATTATTTTCTCCTTTACCCCTATTGCCTTCTTGATTTACCCCTTCCCTGCCAGACAGCCCATGGCATCTTATTCACACAAATTTACTTCAAATCTTGTATCATTCATGTCCTATATGCAAACATATTTGCCCGGCCCTCTGGCGTAGTTGGCTAAACCAGACTTCGCGGTGACCGGTTGACGAACTCCTTGTGGTCCGGGTTTACACCCATGGTTGGCAGAAAAGCCACATTTTTTCCAGATTTACAGTATTTACAATGGAATCAAGGCCGAAAGGTTGCGATATCCATAATACCAAGCCTAAGGGTTAACAACTCATGGCTTCTGGATACTTAAACAAACAGTAAACATATTTATTTATATCATAGCAGAGACCAAACTCAACATATTCTACCCATTTGTAATTCACCACAGAGAATTTCCTTAGTGCCTGACTACTGTAAAGCATGTGCATAAGCAACAGAAAAATCTATTCTGAAGACAAAACTTACAGGAGATACTGAGGGGGACTGACTTGGATCTCCATGACCTCATGCTTGCTCTGTCATAATCACCTCTACCTGAAGACTGGGAAACTGCCGACAGATTCAGGCTCTGTAAAATAACAACAAACACATTCTAAAGATGTTTGTCCCACTTTTGGCATGCACCAAAAGAGAAGCAGCATTCTGTTATCTGTTTTTTTTAAAATAAAATAATAAAAGTGAATGTTTGAAACGTAGAAATTCATCGTCCCCCTCATATATATATATATATAAGTCTAGAAAAGATGTAAAATCACGCACGCACAGATTTAGTGATTTTACATCTTTTCTAGACTTAGCGGCAGACACATACTCCGACACCCACACAGATAAGAGTGGGTTGTATACGCATGTTGTTCTCTCCTAAAATAAAGAGTGAATAAATGTGTCACATGTTCTTAATCAACATCATCAAGTGAAGAGACTTCCAGGCTGTAAAACTACACTGACTGCTGATTATCATCAATCCATCTACTACAAAATGGGTCAAGTGAAGACTGCTAAAAATAACACATCAAAAGAAAAAAACTAATACCCCCAACAAATAGTAAACAACAAAGAAAGAAAAAACAGCCTGGCTTCCTGTTGAAACAATTCCCCCATCTCATCCCCAAATAAAGAGTCCTACGTAAAGTCCTTTCATTTCTGATTTGTTTCAAGGTTACGGCCAGCAAATCTCAAGGACTTTAGTCCATCTTTGAACTTGTCCAAGGTCTTGTGAAGGCCTGGAAAGGACAGGCTGCCTTTCAAAGGTTTTTAAGATGTCAAAGGTCACCACAAGCCCTGCATATACCAGTGTTAACTGATTGCTACCTTAACATGTTTTGGGGAAAATTTGATTCCCATTTTTGTTTACTGACCTGTGTGAAATTTCTTCTTTTTTTTTTATTTTTTTAAAGATTTCTGGAGGAGGAATTCCCAGAGGTTATTGCCTTTTTTTAAGCATTTGGTGAAAGGGTTAATGCTCATACTGAAAATAGGATCTAAGTATTAAAAATACAAAATGCAATGCTGCTCTATGTATACTAAAGTTAAGCCTATTCCTTTTCACATACATAAAAAGTTTAAGAATAAAAGCTGTTACTGCAAAAAGCTTAAATTACCTTATCAAATGAAGAATTGAAGCTTGATGTGTAACTGCTGTTCTGGGATGGTGTGCTGAAGTACGAAGCATAAGGTGACATTAATGATGAGTTACTGACAGGTGACTGGTATCTGCCTGGGGTGTGAGCTGTGAGGCTGGTTGAAGACTTGAGAGGTGTCATGTCCATGGTTCCATAAGCATTAGAGTGGCTGAGGTTCAAAGATGAAGATGCTGACTGAGGTTTCTCTGGTGATTTGGTTTTAAAAGCTGTACCTGTTAAAGTTAGAAAGCAAAACATCCAAGTTAAAATACCTTGAGAATATGAGTTGAGTCAAGAATTGACATCACAGCACTCAGGGCATTCCCATGTGTGCTCCATCCTCATCTTCAGCAGCCAACGTAGAGTTCCAATACTGATGGTACCGGTCACAATCTGGTTATATGTCCGTATTGCCTTTTCTCTGGCAATATGATGTTATATTATGTTCAGAGAAAATATTGTTCACAAGATTTTGTTTTGCCCAGCAAGACGACTGGGTATTATGGTTAATCAAGGAATACCTGAAGGATAGGAAGCTGCTAGTTCAGCCTGTATCCCAGAAACAAAAACATTAAACCAGCATAAACACCTGAAAAACATTTTTAAAAATCCAAATAAACTAGGGAGATAGATAGCCAAATGGGGGGATCTAGCATAGAATGGGAACATACAGGAATGTGAAAATTACTGAAGAATAAGGGTATCGTTAATTCTTGGAAAAATATTAGCAAAAATCAATTTGAAGAGATAACAAAAATGAAATTAACAAGCAACTATGGTATGAACATTCACACTTCTAATCAATTACATACGGTACTCTCTTGTAGATAACGATCATACAGTCCATGTGAATAAAACTTCTCTGTTCTTTTGTATGTATGTTTGTTTGATTCTCTCCTAACCTCTGATGAACAGACTGCATAATACAATCAATTTAGGATAATTTATATATTCAGGGTTAAAACGGAAGAATCATGCAATATAACTACGTTTTTTTTTTCATGTCAAATAAAGTGAAGCAACACTCAATGTGTAAAGGCTATATATGGACAATGAGTACATAATAGGAAAATAAAATACCCTGTAAATGTCCGCATCTCCGAAAGGTTCGCCAATAAAACAAGGACAGGGCCACAAATACCTGCATTAGAGAGAAAGTTGGAACAAGACTGTGTCTGAATTAGCCTGACTTTTACTGAAAGTCAGGGAGCCGCCATAGTCTAGCAACTGGAAGCTCGTCTGCGGATCGGAAGTTTATGGATTCGGTTCTTGACGGAGGCCATATTTTTTTCAAAAATGACCTTGTCTCCAAGGTCGACCCAGCCTTGATTGGACACCAGGTGCAGTCCTGGGAAGTAAAGGCGGTCGGTGTAATGCTGACCACATCACCTACCAAGTGCCGTTTGGTCTTTAAAATACAGGTCTAGCCCTATATACCTAATACGCCTGAGTGTGGAAAAGGGTCTTTTACTGAATGACAAAATGAAGTGGCTTATCCACCTAGCACAAAACGCAGCCAGACCAAACTGTATATGAGATCTTCTACAGCAGAACTCTGGGCATAAGACATGAGAGGAAGACCAAAGAAGTTTAAGACAAAAACAAAACCCAACACTGGACTTCAACCAGGTAGCAGTGTGATGATAAACGAAGAAGTTTAAAGGCTAGGCCATATTTATCCTGTCTATATGTTAATATTTTACTCTTATATTGCTAAGTGAAAAACCATGAAAAATAAACATGTTTTACACATGATAACCGATATAAATTATCACTTACTATTTATAGGCAAGGCCATTAGTTTACCCTGATCTTCGGTAATATCAACAGCAGATCCAAATACGCACATCCAGAAATAGCGACATAGCAGTAACCCATTACTGATTATTTGGAACACCAACAGGATGGCTAAAGATAGTTCTGTAAATAAAAAATACAACCATAAAACTTATAACTGATCTTACAAAAAAAAAAAAAAAAAGGTAATACTGATTAATTCCAAACTGCTAATGTCTTTTAATAAAATGCCTGATTGTTATCTGTGTTAGCATATGAACTGATACATGCTGTTAGAGACAGCAATTTGTAGGGAGGAATGATAATCTATGCCAGTCAATAAGGCATTGTATGACGAAGTCTATCATTGAACAAAACTTTTGAAATGTATCAGTTTACTGTTTACCCTGGTATTACACAGATGTTGACTAATTTTGTTTTACTGATACAGATGTTGACTAATTTTGTTTTACTGATACAGATGTTGACTAATTTTGTTTTACTGATACAGATGTTGACTAATTTTGTTTTACTGATACAGATGTTGACTAATTTTGGTTTCGCTGGCCATTTTGCAAAATTATTTTTAAAAGAAAGTTATTTGCTTCAATACTATTCTCCAGTTGATAGTTTTTTTTTAGCTCATTTGGAACAGCCTAATGCAGATTTGGCTGTTATGGAAATGTCTTCCAACCATGCAGAGCTGACACAGTTCTGATACTAGGATTGTTCAAAGAAACATGACATCCTATATATGGCTACATAGTCGTAGGCTCTTTGATGTAGCTTTCTGCTCAACTATAGTTTTATTTATTAGATAATGGATACATGTAACTGATTATTTTATTCTCTAACATTTGAGTTTTCACAAGATATTTGTAGATTTCAGGGTTCGTAATTATACAACAGCTCACAAGAATTGTGTCCCCCCCCCTAAAGTCACATTCTTTACATATTTTGAAACTTAACGCTTTCATGATCCATTGGTGGATAGAAGGCAGATGGAGAAGAACAATAGCAGTATGTACCTGATGGCATAAGAAGGATCCTTTAATGTCTAAAAACTTTGTAATCTTTGAGTCATAAAGAACAGTGAGTTAGTTCACTGTAAGGCATCAAGTCTGGAAAACTATCAAATTAGCAATTTAGCTTTATGTGACTTCATAGGATGTCAGGAAAAATAACAAGCTTGCACTCAAACCCTTTGTCATAGATTCTGTCAGAATCGATATCCTCCTGACGTGCAGTGTGCCTTGTCAGAATATTCTATTATATTGTTCATATTTAACTTGTTTTACTACTTTGCCACTTTTTAGGTGTAAGACGAACAAGGAGAAAGAGGCCTGAGCCTGAGTATTTAGGGACACATGGATAGTGCAATCACCACCAAGTGTGCAGGTTTAGGAAATTCTGGCCGGCATGATGATTCGTCTTCTTTTTTTCGCTTCTCATTTCGAACAGATTTTCGGTATTCCGAGTGTTGTCTCTAGTATGAACTTCACTGTCTTTTGTAATTCACTCAGCGACCTATAATTTTGGCTTGCACTGGTATCTCTGCTGGCCAGAAGTTTTGCCTTTATATGTTGTATTTGGGACAGTCTTGGAGGATGTGATTTGTTGTCTCAGGTGCTAATCAACATGAGCACATGGCTGATTCGCTAATCTTAAATTCTGTGTACATGTGGCCTAAACTGGGTCCTGTTATAAGGCGTAGAATAATGACTTGTTCTGGCCTGTCCATAATACGATAATTGTCTTGTGCTGGCTTTCTAATTGATTTGATTATTCTCTTTTTCTGTTGATAAGAAACTGGTACGTCAGGTTGTTGTTCATTTGCACCTTCCTTAGCTAGTCTTTCTCTCATTTTCAGGAACCCCTCAGTGGGATGCTATCCATTGCATAGTTACATTACAACAGCTGCCTAGTTTGGAGAGTAATGTCCTTATACCAGATTCGAGAGCTGCTCTTGTATCCGACAGGAATACCATGGGTTGTGAAATATGACCCACATTCAGCAGTATTTCATGATAATGAACACCTTAACCAGTGAGTGCTGACTAGTATATATAGAATTTTGCTAGCACAATGTGCACAAAACAATATATTTGAAGGCATGGAAATAATGTTTAGTTTTTCAAAAGCTTATATTAACTTTGCTTTTGTCTCTTGACAGGTACAATTATTGCATCTTTATTAATAAAAATGTTAATTTTCCGATGATGTAAGCTAAAAACTCGGAAACTACTGAACCGATTGCTTTCAAATTTGCACACAACGTAGTCTTTGACTCCAAGTGTGATTTTTTTGTTAGAAAATCACACAAACCACGAAGAGTGTAACTCCAGCAATGGTCAAATCATTATTTGTTTCGTTGCCGGCCTGGATTTGTTTTTATGTGATCGGCCGTATTTGACCGCTGAGCTCTTATTGAACTTTGCATAATTTCATTTCCACTATTTGCTTGAGTGTTTGGTAGCAAAGTTGTTAACTATTCTGCCTATCATGCAGGTGACCCGCATTTGATTCCCCGCTAGGTGATATAATTTTCTTTTAGCCCTTAACTTGGCGGCTGGCACGTTGTGTTGTGGTTTATGGCTAGGCTGCGATATCTAAGCCTTTTTCGGTTTTAGGGTTTACAGATAGCCTGCGACAGCGGCGACGTGATGCTCAATGGTCATGTCACGCGTAATCTCCGTTCACCCTCGAGAGGGCCGCTGGCACGCTGTGTTGTGGTTTACAGCTAGGCTGCGATATCTGACCTAAACTCTTCAGTCGTCGGTAGTAAAGTTGTAAGTATGTCATCCTTCACTCGAGTGACCGGTGTTCGATTCATTGCTGGGTGATAATTGTTCTTTTCCCCCTAAAAGGGTGGTTGCCACGTTGTGTTGTGGTTTACAGCTAGGCTGCGATATCTGCGCCTTTCGCCCAAAGACATCCGATTTCAGTTAAGTCCTAAATAGCCTCCCCGCGACGCTTCTCGATCAAAAACTATTCGGCGATGATAGAAACTGTTAACTAAGACGGCTTACAGTCCAGTTTAGTTTGGGTGGACACCGACGCCAAGGTCAGTTGAAAATCGTTCCCTCGGAGAGGGAGAGATGACGAGTGCGGGGTATTTTTTTCCCCTATTCGTGAGTATAGTGTACTTTTCACTGTGGGTTCCATCACTGGCTACTTGATGAAGTTTTTTTTCCCTGTCTGGGGCAAAATCAAACTAAATAGTCCGTGGTGACAGCATGCAGCGCTAACTCCTCTTTTCTACACCGACCTACACAGACTGTAGTGACAGTTTTTGTTGTTGTTGTTGTGATGGTGGTTGTGGTTGCAGTAGTACTGGTACTGGATGGGTGATGTGGTAGCTGTTACACTGGCTACATTAACTTCTCTGTACAAGTTAATGCTACCTATTTAAGTCTGGGTAGACATGGATGCAAAGCTCAATTTAGTTACAATATTTCGTTACACAGTGACTTTCCCATCCTTCTGAGAAAATGATAAGATTGGGGGAGGGGGGTTTATGCCAGACACAGTTAGCTGAGAGAGCTTAAAATATTATTTTAAAGTTCTCATTCCTTAACTATTTCTATTTTAATAATTTCGCCAGGTGATGATTTTTCAATCCTTTGGAGATGGACACTGGAGCTGAGGTGGCATAGTGGCTAGATGCTTGCCTGCTGGTCCTGGTTACAATTTGTACTGAGGCAGATTAATTACAAATGAACACGCCTCAATGCTTGATCCAGCTTAAAATAGACACCACGCCATTCCTGGGAATTAAAAAGCAACCGGCATGATGCTGACCAAATCATTCGCTGAGTGCTGATAAATCTATGTAAATATGAGTCTTAACATCATTTACATAATTCACAACTGTCATGAAAATGGACCTTTAATGTACTCGCACACATTACTGTTTATACTTACCAGTAAACCAAACGACTGGATGGGCCAATGACACAAGACCCGAGAACACTGAGTAGGACCTGTACAATGAAACAGAATTTATGTGTGTGAAGAAGTACACAGACGGACAAAAACAAAAACCCAGAGCTATTACATCAGTAAAAGAGACTCAAGTTAAAAATGTTAAAAATCAGAACTTAATAACAAAACAAAAATGATGAAAACACCAGAATCATCTTCTTAACGTTCACCGGCCACAAATTTTAGTGGAAAGTTCTGGCTGACTGTCAACTTCTAGGCTTGGTCTTGTTCCAGAATTGAATTTATGCAAGCTATTTTTATAAAACTTGGAAACAAACATAACTAACCTAAAATATTTGGGTGAATTTTTTTAATGAATGAAGCTTGAGTAAGTCCTAACACCTGTATTTTGGGAAGTAAGACAGACCCTTGGAGGCCCTTCAGACACGTCTGGCACATAGTTCTATTAATTTTTCTGCCTCCAGCCAAGTTTCAGTTTCTATGACGCAACAATCCTTTTCCCCATTTTTTGGGCACAGGTAACCCCAGAAGAAAAAACCGATTTAAAATCAAAGAACACATCAAACTTTCTCGAAAGCCGTCAATGAACAGCCCACATGTGCAGATAATGCGAGAAGCAGTCTGACTGGCTGGTACAAAAACCTGCCAGCCAATATCAAGGCTTTTATTACACAGGGTTGACTGATCAGCCCAGCCATACTTTTGGCTACTTTGCGTTAGGCCAATATTTTAGCCGCGTCATCTCCAGAGGGTTGGCTGGGCAAGTTCCTGTCTTGTGGCTTACAATAGGTAAATTATATCGTTATAATCCTGTCATGCCAGTACACATCACATAAAGCGTGCAGGCTAGTCCACCATTTTGTTTTACATTAATGCTTGGCCAAGCATTGTATGCGTCTGGCCAATGACTTCCACAGAGTGGCTTTCATAAGTAGCCATCATATGTGCACTTTTGTAGGCTGCACAGCACACCACTTAGCTGGTTAGTCTGCCAGAATGGCCTCCCTTCCTGCGGGTTTCTGTAGCAAATTAACTTTGATAAGACAGGGCAGCTGCTGCCCCCCCCCCCCCCAAACCCTCATTCTTTCTTATCTGAGATCGGCAGCAGCAACGACAAGAATTAGATTTAACTAGATCTGAATTGATAATTTTAAGAATTCTCTGGGGAAGAAGAAAGACAGCAAGATAACACATCACTTCATCTCTGTATCTCTCTGCACAACTTTTACGGACAGTGCTGGACAGGGGATCTTCAGCCTGAGGATTGAGGGCTGCACGTTTAGGACAACTGGCACAAACTGTGCCAGGTCAGAATATTTATGTCTGTCTCAGACTGAAAAATCTGCTACCGCCTTCCAACGATTACAAGCCAGGTCTCCTGCATGAGAGCCTAGTGCTCACTTGGCCTGCTCCTGCTCCTCTGATTCTCTTACTTGAAAATATATAGTCTTGCTTTTAAATATACACAAACATATAGATTTACACAATTAACAATCTATTAACACACCAGGAAGAGGAGACAAGCAAAGTTCTTTGGTCACATGATAAGAATAGGAGCATTGGAAAATATCATGATGACTGGAAAGATCACTGGTAGAAGAGGCAGACCAAGAGAAATGATACTGGATGGCCTGAGACAGTGGCATGGAGGAATATCATCAGTAGAACTGATCCAGAACACCAACGCCAGCTGGCAAGACACTTGATGATGATAAGAGACACATCAGGAAAAAGGATACTCATATCCATGTAACTGTTACATGCTGGAGATACACTGTTGGCATCACAGTTTACAGTTCATGTAAGTAAGCATCACCAACTCTTCTTCAAAAAAATTTCCTGGTCCCAATTTAATGACGCTAGGTTGACCTTAGAACCTATCAAATATGCATCTTCTTCTTTTGTCAAAATCTGCTTGTGCCGCTAGGCGTCGCAGTCTATCAGATGATCGGCAACCAAGCCAGGGCGCGCTCAGTCGCTTCATATGCCGTGATGTTATGAAGTCTCAAGTTGTCCGTGACTCCTTCAATCCATCTTCTTCTTGGTCTTCCCCTGCCTCTTGTTGTTTCGATTTTCATGTTGTATGCTCTTGATGCTGGCATCGTTGGTTCCATTCTCCTTAGGTGACCAAACCATTTCATTCTTTGCTTCTCAATAAATTTAACGATGGGTATGGTTCCAATAGTTCTTGTAATCACATCGTTTCTCACTCGATCTCTTCTGGTTTTATTCGCAGCCATTCTCAAACATCTCATTTCACAGGTGGTTAGTCTTCTCTCATGTTCTTTTGTTAATGTCCAAGTCTGACATTGATAACCTAATGTCGGTATAAAGATTGTATTTATAATTTGTCTTTTTATCTCAGCTGGGACAGCAGGGTGTTTTAAAATTGGGGCAAGCTGGTATGCGACATTGTTGGCTTGTTGGATTCTTGCTTCAATCTCTCTGTTGCCAAATATGCATAATCCGTTTAAAACACAACTAATTATTGACATCAGGGGGCTATTATAGCAGTGGCTCTCAACATCATGCTAGCCACTTTTACTTCCCAGGATTTTACATGGTACCCAATGAGGCTAAAGTGACATTGGAACCAAGGTCAACTTTTGAAAGGGGGAGAAAAAAAACTGTCTTAATGCAAATTGTAACAAATGATAGACATTTAGGCTGGTACATAGCCACTATACTACTGCAGCTCATTACAGTTACAATAAGATTATGTGTTAAATACTCTGATAGCAAAAGAAGCATACAACCGTACTTACATGTCAAAGAATAGAAAGGCAAATATAACCACAATCTTTGCAGAGGAAATAACGGCCTGCCTAGCTGCCTGTGTCATGTGCAGCCTCTCCCACGTTGACTCAACAATAGGGCTCTTATATGGTGATGGCATATTAATACTTCCCTATCTGTTCCCCTTTTTAAAAAATTGTAATGGTTCTGGAGAAAAAAAATATATTTAAAAAAAAAGCATTTTAAAATACTGCATAAAAACTGACCAAGAAAATATAAAAAGTTTTAGAAAAATAATGATTTAAGATATTAAATGTTTTGTTTCTTGAAAGAATATTATTTAAAATGTTTTCAATGTATGTGGATTCTTTTCATAAAGTAAAGAAATTATGTTATTATGTCATGTTATCAACACTCATAAATTAAAGAATTATGTCATGTTATCAACACTCATAAAGTAAAGAATTATGTCATGTTATCAACACTAACACATACTGGGCATGGTCTTAGCTCAGTCCTCTGATGCAGAAATCACACCAAGGTACCTCTAATGACTGTTCCCATGATATGGTGGGTTTTTTAAAATAATAATTATTACCTCCTGTACTGATATACAATCAACATGTTAAGCTTTAGTCATTATTATCATGATCTGCATTTATTTAATATTATATATTAATTTTCAATATGCATATTTTAGTGAAAATAAACGTTTTCTTCTTCTCCCTTTCTAGCTCCCAATGGAGCATGGGCCCTCAACCAACTCACGCCAAGTTGATCTATCCTTTGCTATTGCATGCAGCTCTTCCAATGTCCTCGCCATCTTTCTAGCCTCATTTTCCAGCTCGCTTTTCCATGTGTTTTTAGGCCTTCCTTTATTCCTATGCCCCTGTGGGTTCCAATACAAAGACTTTCTAGTTATAATATTGTTCTCCGTTTGGCTATCTTCCGAATAACGGTCCCAAGTTATCGAGGCAGAAAATATACCCTAACAGGGCCTCAGTAACGTGTCAATTGTGCGACTTAAATTGCGCACTTCCGCCACCACCGAAAGTATCCCCACGCCGCGTGGATTGGGGCTAAACTAGATGGCTGGGACTCACGAGCAGCAGCTACCACATTTCCTGCAGCTGCCTTTATTTTATTTGCCCGTGAGTCCTAGCCATCTAGTTTAGCCCCAATCCACGGCGCTCGAGTGGCGTGGGGGATACTCTCGGTGGCGGCGGAAGTCCCCAGAAGTTCGCAATTGGGCGGCGGCGGTATCGTCCCCGGAAGTACGCAACTGACACCTTAGGCCCTGTTAGGGTATATTTTTTGCCTCGATAGTTTGGGGCTGTTATTCGGAAGATAGCCTCCGGTTTTCTCAATGTGTGTCCTATCCAACGCGTGTCTTTTCTTCACCTCTTAGTCCACTGGAGCTTGTTTAGTTCTCTCCCAAAGCTCTACATTAGTGATTCTATCATACGATCTCATTTCATCTATTCTGTGCATGCACCAGTTAATGAATCATAATGAATGTCGGCTATCCTCCGAATAACGGTGTCAAATTATCGAGGCCAAAAATATACCCTAACAGGGCCTCGGTGACATGTAAATTGCGGCCTTCTGGTGACTATCGACACCGCCGAGAGTATCTTCCGCGCGGAGCGGGAGCTGAACTAGATGGCTGGGACTCACGAGCAGCATCAGCATCTCCTGCAGCTTTCTTTATTTTATTTGCTCGTGAGTCCCAGCCATCTAGTTTAGCCCCACTCTGCGCGCAGTGGCGCGGGAGATAATCTTGCCGGTGGCGGTAGTCGGCGAAAGTCCGCAATTTACATGTGTCACATTGTGACTGAATTTAGGGGTATTTTCGGCAATTTCCGTTATTCGGAGGAGAGCCTGAATGTCAGTAGTTTGTTCGGGAAATCTCGGCTGGTTGCCTTAGTAGTTCTCCATGTTTTCGCACCACAAAAAAGTACTGATTATAATTAAAAACTGTAAGTTTAGTATTTGACCATTTCTCATAATTTCTTCTGACCTCCACACATTTTTTAGTGCGATGAAAGTGAAGAAAGCTCCTCTTGCTTTTTGTATTTTTATTTCAATAATGTCTAATATTAAGGTCCCCAATTTTTATCCATTGCTGCCCAAATATTAATACGACTCCATGTCGTGGAAAAGACGTGCATACTAAAATACAGCATAAAATATCAATTGTTCGTAATAAAATTTGAGGATGTGCAGAGAATGAGAATAGTTCATATCTGATGGGTCTGAATCTGACAGTATTGAACTGCAACTCCTCTCTGAGTACTTTGACGACTGACGTAATTTCAGATGAGAAACAACTGATTTCTGATCTCACTTTTACAATTACATTTACTTTACATCATACAACGCCAGTCTTGTTTTAGAAATGGTATACTATACTACATGACTACAACTTCAGTTCTTCTGCCATCTTTATCAGCATTATACATATCTAGTGGAGGTCACTTATAATTCCCATTCACGCTAAACAAATTTAATATTACTTTACACAAAAACTTACACAAACAAGCTCTTATTTCCCACATTTACAGCCAGGTTTTATTGCCAGTTAAGATGTTTAGCTTATGGCTATAATTCAAGTGTAAGTGTTGACTGAAACGTAATTATTTAATCGGTATTACATCTTTGCCGTTCTAACATTTTAAAATTGCGGCATGTACTCAATGTGTTTCTTGTCTATGTAGCAGATACGACGATATCAGTATCCTGTTCAACTAATATTGGTTATGGTTTCGGATATATTACAGGTTTTTTTTCCATTTTTTTGGATATTTATGCTTATCAATTACCCTTGGTTATATAATCTTGCATAGCTGATGTAATAATAGCAAAAGATTTTAGCATTATAGATTGTTATGTTTAATGTATTTTAAGCGTATTATCCTACTAAGTAGGTATCTTAGCCTGAAAGATCATTTAGAAAACAAAAGTAACTAAAACCTGGACCTGTCGGCGAGCTCTCATATGCGGAAAGTTTTAGAAAAAGTGAAACTTTGCAAAGAGTTTTTAAAAAAAAGATGGCAGACGACCAGGACCAGGTAATTACTTAGATTTCTTTCAAGCTAATTGTGCGATTTTCTTTACAATTTTTTTAATGCATATCAATTGATCCTAATTGAAAATTGAGTCAATGGGCGTGGAGTTTTAAAAAAACTAAGTGAAAAGTCGTCATTCAAATGGGTCTGAATCTGACAGTAAATCTACGAAACTCCTCTACACGTACGACGAGACTGACGAAGAATTTCAGATTAAATTAATCAATCAGGTTCACTCGAGCGGGTTTAAATATAATTAGAAATAAAATGACATTCTTTGATCATATTGATGAGCACGAATATTTCAAGAAATACAGATTGGGTGTTAAAAATTGAAAGCTGTAATAATGAATACAACTTCAGTTCTTCTTTGATTTATCCCCTTTATCAGCCACATTATGGCCATAAAATATCCGGACGGTGTTCGCGTATATCTAAATTACGGATTCACTGCCAACGAACAAATCGCGGCAAAACTAGGATTACTTGACAACCAATATCAACATTTGCACACGGTACTAGTAGCAGACGATAAATACCGACTGTTGACAAAAATTTCGAGCGTTTCTGCAGACGACGATACTAGCAGACTCTTATTTCCCACATTGACATTTCGAGACATTACAGCCAGATTAAGATGTTTAGCTTACTGTGTTCTTCCGATTCAAGATTTCAGACTTGTTGACATGCGCCAAACGTAATTAAATTTAATCGCCGAGGTATTACATGCCTGGGACCGTTCTAACATTTAAAGTTGCGGAGATGTACTGTCACTGTGTTTCTTGTCTATTTAGCGCCGCGCGTACGGCGCGGGGGATTACGCTTGGCGGTGAGGCACACTAAGCAGGTTGGTTAGCAAGTATTGGATACCCTATCACAGGTTTTTTTTCCATTCATTTTGGATATTTATTTTTATCAATGACCCCGCATTATATAATTTTGCATAGTGATGGCCAATAATAGCCAAAAGCTCCTTTTTGAACACCAGCATATAGATCGCCATTTTGGGGAACGATTTTAAGAAGCGCGTAATATCCTACTAAGTAGGTATCTCAAAGCCTAAAAAGATACATTTATAAAACAGCAAGTTAGATAGCTGTAAACAATCTCTTTCGGCAATGCTCTCATTTAGGCGGAAATTTTTAGAAAAAGTGTAGGTTTTTTGCAAAGAGATTAAGAAAAAAAAAAAAAACTTGTGACCCAGAAACAAGACCAGCGACCACTGCGATTACTTAGATTTCTTTCAAGATTTCTTTGTGCGATTTCCTTTACAATTTTTTTTAATGCATATCAATTGATTCTAATTGAAAATTGAGTCAATGGGCGTGGAGTTTTAAAAAAACTAAGTGAAAGTCGTCTTCGCCGTACAAATGGTCTCATCTACGCTACGGCTACGGCATACGGCTGCCGCTACGAACGACGATAAGATGATGAGTTCACAACATTAATCAATTTAATCAGGTTCACTCGAGCGGGCTTAAATATCATTAGAAATAAAATCACAGGCTTTGATCATATTGATAAGTACGAATATTTCAAGAAATACAGATTGACTTGGTTAAAAATTGAAAGCTGTAATAATCATTATTATAATGGTAATATATAATATATATATATAAAAATATTTATTATTATTATATATGTCTAAGTCATAACCAAGATTTGAACTTGCCCGGGCCGGCTTACGCCGGTAAGCTTTACTGCTTCAAAAATTGAGTATTGATAGTTATTCTTAGTGATGACAGTTGACAGCCTCATGATTATTGATTATAGTTAAAGCAGCTTGCTGAAAATAAAATTATTCTTTTTTGACTCATGACCATGACCACTTTGGACTTGACGCTCTTTATAGTAGGCATTGATATACACATTTATCAGATAAATAACATATATTTACTTTATATTTATAGTATTAATATAATACTATTAGTATACTTTATATATTTATATATATATATATAAGAAAAAAATTTACCTGTTTTCTGTCATTAAAATTAAATTAAGAGTGACGACATGACACACAAAAGGTAGTCTCATAACAGTTACTGCCAATGGAATGATGTCAATCTTTAGACTTTCAGGCTCTCCTCCAAACTTCTACCCCCGCAGTATTGCGGCCTGAAATATCCGTTCGGGGCGCAGTCCAATTAAAAATATGCCGGCTCCGTATAACGAAACAAATGCTCTTACAGGGTCTCAGCGATATGTTATTTGCGGACCTGTTTCTTGTTGTTTCTGATTACCTGATAATTCTCAGAGACGCAACACTGCAGACGGTAGTAGCAGACGACGATAATAGCGAACGTTGACACTTTCCATTGTCGAACTTTTTGCGGACGAACAAATCGCGGCAAATCTAGGATCGGCTCGGAAAAATGAAACAAATGTTCTAACAGGCTCTCAGCGATGTGTTACTTGCGGACCTGTTTCTGTGACTATGCCTCACCGTCGACGGTATCCCCGCGGCGGGCGTAGAGGCGAAACTAGATTGCTGGGACTCACGAGTGGCAGCTACCGCATCTCCTACAACTTCCTCCAATTACTTTGCTTGTGTCCCAGGCACCTAGTTTAGCATAGCGGCGTGTGGGATACACTCGGCGGTGAGTTTAATCATGTTTTGCGCATGCCGACAAGTCTGACATCTACCGCTGCTAAATCCTCAATCGGAAGAACAGTATTGCTAATCTGCGTGGGAGCAAGTAGTCTACCCGCCATATCGCTTTCATCGTCTGTAATGTCTCAAAATTGTCAACGGTCGCTTTTATCGTCTGCAATGTTGCATCTCGTGACATTGTAAGGTACTCCTAGTTTTGCAGCAATTTGTTTCTCAGCGGGAACTCCGACAAGTCCATATTTTTAATTGGACTGCGCCCCGAACGGATATTTCAGGCCGCAATACTGCGGGAGTAGAAGTTCGGAGGAGAGCCGACTTTTATATATTCTAAACCAGGGCCATTCAATGGTGATCGTTGTGGGCTAGATGACCAAGCGCCAGCATAGAAAGAACAATAATATAATACAGTTGGCAGGTAATCCTCGGGCCATTCGCGAGGCCTCTGCAGGGCACCAGTTGAATAGCCCTATTGTAAACGATGACAAGTGGGTGGCTCGTTCCTTTTCTGGTTGTCTTCCAACTGTTTCCATCCTAGAAATTGTTCAAAATTCAATTTAAAATTCTATCCATTTTTATGATGTGAGGTTGAACCCAGTGCTGTATTGGTACTTCTTGGGATTGAACAGCTGCATGCAAGTGCGCTAACCTTTACACCACTTGGGTAGCGCAGTAGAGTCACGAAATTTGAAATAATTATACAGGGAGGGGATTGGTGAATGTGAGCTTTACATTTTGTTCTTCCTGCCACTGGTTCTCAGATGAGAAGTCTGCAGGCCTCCGTGAAGGTTGTGGTTGTGGTCTTCCACAAATCCATACAGCTTGCTGTCCACTGGACTGCCAACTGGTCAATCACTGTTATGTAGTTTGTTGCTGCTCTTTTCAGATTTTAACCTGAACTTTTTTTGTGTGTGTGTTGTTTTTGCTTTTCTTCCACTTCTTCCGTGTTTATCCAAAGATGTAAATAGATTGTTGCCCTGGTTAGCCTTCCCATTTGTGATTTTTTTTTTAAAATATTGCTGTTTTTTGTGACTCAGTGATCAAGGAGTTTGTGTGTGTGTAAAGTACTGTGTAAATTGAATGACAGTAGTCAGCAGTGCTTCATCATCATGTGCCTTGCCAGCTGGCGTAGGCGCTCATGCGTCTCCACAGTTCACGATCCCTGGTTGACTGGAACAGCTCTCTTGATGATATCCCTCCATGCCATCGTTTTAGCCCATTCAGCATCATCTCTCTTGGTCTTCCTCTACCCCTTTTTCCACTGATCTCTCCAGTTGTCATGATGTTCTCCAATGTCTCTCTTCTCTATATGTGGCCAAAGAACAGTGTTTATCTCTTTCTTATTGTTGTATTTAGAGATCTACTTTCATAAACCTCTTTCAAGCAGTCGTTGATAGTTACTCTGACCGTCCAAGATATTCGTAACATTCGTCTCAAAAACCACATCTCTGTTGCTTCCAAATTCTTCTTAATTTGTTCAGTGACATTCCAAGATTCGCTGCCATACAGCAGAATAGGTTCTATGTAATCTTTCAGCACCCTCTTTCTGACAGTGCTTAAGTGCATACATTTCTGTCTTCACAGACAGTACCAGTACAAACTGTTGAGGAGCCTCTGGATCTTGTTCGTTTGAGTTTAGATGAACGCATTTATGTCAAGATGAGGACAGATCGAGAGTTGCGCGGCCGATTGCATGTAAGTACATGTGTTACTTAAGCAGTGCAGAGTTTATGCATAGCCTGTGACATAATTAAAAACAGGTCACAGGTTAGTGATCAATGATGTAGAAGCTGCTGAATGTGTGATTAGCAAAATATTGAGGATGTCTTTGAAGAAATTGGCTCATAGATAGAACTGGTTGCCTCCATATAAAAGCAATCCATATCTTTTGGGGCACATCATGATTTTATAACAACAGGCAGGGAAAGACTAAGAAAGATGTAATTAGGGCATAGACAGAGATGTGAATCAACAATGAGGTCAAGAAAAAAATCAACTTTACATTGCTAAGGGTGAGTCAGAAATCTAGAATTGTGATAATTCATGTTGTTTGTTATGCTTCTAGTGTCTAACCAGAAGCTTACATAAACAAATGAATGGAAGCTTTACAAGTAAGTCAAAACCTACAATGCTGTATATTCTTAAATTTTGTCTGCGTACAAACATATATTATTATTTTTTCCTGCTGTTTTGTGAGCTCAGGGTCAGTTTATATATTAATTTTACACCAGCCTCGCAGCCCAGTAAACATTGTTCGGCTGACCATAGTTTGCCCGTCCCTGTTGTAGACCCTCCAAGTGAGTACTGATTGTCTACAATTCTGATGGGGAATTGCTATGGCTGCCTTTGCAAGATTTATTGTCCTCGTCACCTTGGAAACCATGGTGGATTCTTCCCTGTATCAGCTAATGTCTGATCGGGGCACCCCTCGTGGAGTGAACAGTATGAACCCCAACCTGGCGCATCAGCTCTTCTGTATAAAGTAACAGACTGTCATGTGCCAAAATACAGGCGTATTCTCCATATGTTGCCTACACATTCTTGCATTAAAGAGGAATCCTAACCTTTTCACTGCCAAGCGGGTGATACTTTAGTCCATTCTATTCTAACGATCCATGACTTTAAGTAGTAGTCGTCTGGTTTTGAATGGTTAACTCTTTACCTTCATTAAAAATCTTTTAAATTAGCTTTTTTTTTTCTCTTCAGAATTTTAAAATAAAAACGCATTGTTATGATTCTCTGAAACTCTGACCCTGAGAAACTAGAGGAAAGTTTGTAGTCTTAGCCAGTTTTTATAAAAAAAATCCTAGGGGTTAAATACCTACGACCACTGATCTAGCTGTTCTGCCATCACTGCTGCTGTGTCACTAAAATTACTGTGCAACAGTAATTATTTTGTTTTTTGAAGAGAAGTAATCGCTAAATACAAACAGTGCAAAGAAATAAGTGCTTTTTTTTGTCTGAAATCAAGAAAACTGAGGTTTTGTTGACACAGCTGAATCGTGCAAAGTGACATCATAATGAATTTATTGCGACATCACAGAAACAACAAAATCTCTGGATTTTTTTTAAACCCTAAATAATATTTGTCCTTTTTGAGTGGTCCTGATGGGGGTAAAAATACTCAATAACTTACCAACGCTGTTAGATAGGCATATCGACCACTGCCTAGTCCCAATAAAGTTATGGGTGCTGATGAAGGTTCCATAGCCGCAACGTTCACATTTTGTTTGTATTTGTTATAATGTGAAGCTTGCTAATATACTTTTTGTTCGGTTTTATATCTTTTCTCAAAAAATTATGGAAGCGGGCTTTCTAAGCATGATAGGGTCAGACTGATAGTCATACCAGATAAATAAGTTAAGATATTGTCTTATACTTGAGAGGCTCTTACAGCATCTCTTCTTACAATGTGATAAAAGAAAACTACATAACATAGATCCACAAGAAGTTTTCTCTCTGTCAGCTGTGATTGGGGGATACTTCTCCATTTACCTCAGTGAATTGTTGGAAGAAGGAAGGATCTTCAGTGTGCTCTGCTGGTTGGACTTCGTTTCTCTAAGCTTGTTTTTGATGTTGTCATTCCATGTTTTGCATGGTCTTACCCTTATTTTATGCTCATTGTGTTTCTTTAATGTGGCTCACTTTCATAGTTGGTGCCAAGGCATTCTTGTCAGATGAACAAACCATTTTTTTTTAAACGTATGAAACTACTCTTTGAAGAAATAACAATTTAGTAGTGAAGTCCCTTGATAATATGGTGGTTTTTGTTTTCCTATTAGGCTTATGATCAACATCTAAACATGATACTTGGTGACGTGGAGGAGACAGTGACAACTTCAGAAATTGATGAGGAAACTTATGAAGAGATTTTTAAGGTAGAATGTGGTTGATGTATCTTTGTTTGTATAAGACATTATAAAATATGTAAGCTAGTGTGGCTACAACTGACTTAGAGGATGTTGTTATTTTGGAGAATAGTTTAGGTAATATTTGTCTGAGAAGTTGTACTGTGTTTGTATTAGTTGAGTTAAAAACTGAGATGATAGCAGTCAGGACATTACCATATGTACTCCTTCCTCCTCTTCAGCAGCCAGCAAAGAGTTTCAGTGCTGATTGTATCGGTAGTAGTATGATTAAGTATCCGTCTTGCTTTTCCTCTGAGTGTAGATTGTCAGCCAGATCTGATCACTTGCCACTGCTCCATTCTCTCCACACACTGATATTTTGTTCATGGTTTTCACATTGTTCATTTGCTGCTAAAAGACCTTGACCACATCTAGCTTGTCTTTCTTCACGTAGTGTGTTTGTATGTGTCTGATTACAGAAAATGAAAACAACTATTTTGAATGGTGACTTTAAGGAATGCAGTGTATTATTTTTGTGTGTGTGTAAGGGACACAACCCATTGTAGGTGTATGTTCACATAATTATGTTGTGGTAATATTTAATATTGTTTCATGTTAGAGTTATGCTTAGCGTTAGCTCTAGCCCTAATTTTAAACAATATTGAATATTATTATGCGAGCTTACATAACATTGGGTTGTGTCCCTTACTCTCAGCTTAAACAATAGATTGCATCCCTTAGGGTCGCTATTTGAAGTTGTGTCAAACAATTAATTTAAAAAAAAAAATTGTTTTTCAACTCTGCATTTGCAGATGAAATGTGATGTGGTATACAGCTAGGCTGTGATATATGTACCTTTTGACCCAATGCATCCACTTTGAAGCAAACTCCTAATTAGTCACCTTTTATGTCATCCTTGTTAAGGGACCGTTGGGGTAGGGGGAGTGGTCACCCACATGTGGAGCTTTGTTAGAAATGTAAAGCAAATTTTGGGTTGGAACCCACCTGTGGAGCTTTGGTAGAAATGTAAACCAAATTTTGGGTTGGAACCCACGTGTGAAGCTTTGGTAGAAATTGAAATTAAACCAAGTTTTTAATTTGTGGCCCAAAGGGAGAGCTTTGGTGGAAATTGACATTAAACATAATTTGCGGTTGGGATCCCACATGGGGAGTTTTGGTGAAAGTTAACATTAAACCTAATTTTATGTTTGAAACCTAAATAGGTAATTTTGTTCGAAATTAAAACCTTATTTTTGTTTTGGAGGGGGGGGGGGGGCATATGGGTAGCTTTAGTGGAAATTTAAATTAACTCAAATTTTATATTTTCCCCTCTGCAGACAACAAAACGGACGATACCAATGTTGTTTGTGAGAGGCGATGGTGTGATTCTAGTGTCGCCACCCATGAGGACTGCAACCTAACCTGAACTTTGATTTCAGCTTTGCTGCACGTTCATCATGTCCATCTATTGATACGTTTGTTTTGTCATTTTAAACTTTTCAAGTACATTGATTTATGGTAAAGAAACATTTCACAAAGTTCATGTTTGTTTTGTTATGGATGCAATTGTATAATTTCAAACTTGATTGATTGTGAATAAATATTTCACAGATTTCATATCTTGTTATGATATTTTTTCAGTTGTTATTGCGTGTTTGTAATTAGATGATTTCACATTGTCTGTAAAATTTGAAGTATTACCGAGCTCCAAAAACGCAGTTATTCAAAGCTTTCCTGAAGAACTTTGGTTCTAATTAACCTTGCAGAATATTTGTTTTTCAATTACCTTGGCCTTAAATGAATTGCAGGAAATGTCCAGGGAAGTACAGATAGCCAGATGTTATTGACCACATATTTCATCAGATATCTTTAAAAAAAAAAATGGTGCTGGCTCATTTGTAAAGCAGTCTGCTGCCAGTTTACCTGCAGCTGGATCAAATACTTTAGAATTGCAAACTAAGCTCACAATGCCCAATCTAAACAACAGACAGCAGATTAGGGAGAAATTATGCGGATGCTGCAGAGATGTAGTTCTGTACAAATCTCATGGACTGAGAAATAATGCAATAAGCTCTTCAAATAAATCTCAGAACCCTGTGTGAGTTCCAGGGTCTGATTTTGGTTTGAGCAAAGAATGGACCCCTCGCCTGTAAATCATGCAAAACTCAAGTTCTGGAAAGTGATCAAAGTCCAGAAGTGGATGAACAACCAGAACTTTCTGCCTTAGTTTACAGCCATTGAATGCTTAGCATATTGAATTAAGAATCACAGCACTCAAGACACTCCCAGCAAGCGAAGAATTCCAAAGGCACCAGTAACTGTCTGATTGTATATCTGTCTAGGCCTTCCCTTGAGCATTGGCCAGATTCTTTGGTAACTCCTTGCAGCGCCATTTTCCTCAGACCGTAATGATCTGTCTGTGTCTCTGCACTGTTCACTCGCTCCCAAAGGGTCTTCAGAACATCCAGCTTGTCATACACCAGTTCACCATAAATTGATGCAGAGCTGGCCAGTCTACCTGCTCATTTCTCAACACACCAGCATGACCTGGGGAAAATATCCAAAGGATGTTAACTACCCAGGACCTCTGAAGTTATGCTTGCCACTCTACACTGAGCATGCCCGTCTCCACCTATCTCAACATGCTCAGTGAGTCAGTTACAATCACGGCATGTGTGTACAGCTGATTCTCAAGCTTTTACTATGAACCGGACCCCCATGCACTTCATCTGCCCCTTGACACAACCATCTGTATAATCACATCACTAGAGGGGCGGGATTCTCACGAATCATTTGTTGAACTTTTGTTGATTCTGCAACACCAGCTGGCCAGTCACTGCACTCATGATCTGAAGTGATCAGAACCCTACACCAGTCTGAAACTTGCTTAGACACTTTGACCCACTCCTCTCATCACCAAAATTTATCAAGCCTGCACACATGTCTAAAATTGTGTCTTGAGCTTCCGTTATTCCAAGACCTTCCTCTTTTCGGTCTGTGACCCTTAGTCTACCCAGAGCTTCATGCAGCAGGCGCTTCTTGTCTGCAGCGACTCTGAGATATGACTTTGCTTGCAGAACTTTGAGCCTAACTGCAATAGTAGGCAGTGCAAGTATATATCACATACATACTTCAGGGGTATCTCTGGTAAATCCCAAAATTACCCGCCAGACTTTAGTCTGTATGCATTCAAGTTTCATTAGCTGACTCTTTGATATGGTAAGCATTCAAAGTCCATAATCTATTACCGACAGGATTACATGCTGGAACATTGTGAACATCCTTTTTTGTTCCATGTCCATTGCTGCCAAAATCTTTAGAGAATTGAGTCCTTTTTTGGGGGGCATTTTACTGCAACTGCCTCCACACGATCCCTGAAAAATGGGCTTCTGTTGAAAATGATGCCTAGGTACTCAGTTTGCTTTCTTTTTTGATGTTACTGTTACTAAGTGTGAGGCTTGGAACACTAGCTGTTACAATTCTATTGTCCAGAGAGCACAATAAAACAGCCGCCCTTTCTAAGTTGATGACAGCACCCATTTCTGCACACTAGTCAGTCACTTTGTCTACAGTCGCCTGTAGCTCTTGGACTATTCGTTGCCTATCATTCCTCTGCCTATGTGCAAGAACATCATCGGCAATGTCAATATCCTTCCAACACCTGGTGCTTCAAGTTCTGCAATCTTGCTTGTATACACTTTTTTCTTTTCTTGATATTTTATACACTTTAAAGAGCACTGGTAAAACTGCAGAACCCTGGGTGTAGTTCCTAGGCTTTATTACATGGTTCTGAGTTCCATGTACCCAAGTGAAGGACAACCATATGTGATTGCAGGACAGCTGCTATCCAGTTAACAGGCCAGGAACAAAGCCCCTTCCCCACTAGTGCAGAAATGAAAATATAATATCTGGCTCTATTGTAGGCATCCTCAAGATCAAGTGCTGCCAAAAGCGTCCCCTGTCTATTGCTGGAACCCCTCATAAACATCAAAAACAAAAGTAGCTGCATTAGACAAGGTATCTTTCTGTGGCCGGTAACTACCCAAACCTTTTCACAGGAGCTTTTCTTCTTCTTTTTCTTCTTTTGTTAAAATCTGCTTGTGCCGCTAGGCGTCGCAGTCTATCAGATGATCGGCAACCGAGCCAGGGCGCGCTCAGTCGCTTCATATGCCGTGATGTTATGAAGTCTCAAGTTGTCCGTGACTCCTTCAATCCATATTCTTCTTGGTCTTCCCCTGCCTCTTGGTGTTTCGATTTTCATGTTGTATGCTCTTGATGCTGGCATCGTTGGTTCCATTCTCATTAGGTGACCAAACCATTTCATTCTTTGCTTCTCAATAAATTTAACGATGGGTATGGTTCCAATAGTTCTTGTAATCACATCGTTTCTCACTCGATCTCTTCTGGTTTTATTTGCAGCCATTCTCAAACATCTCATTTCGCAGGTGGTTAGTCTTCTCTCGTGTTCTTTTGTTAATGTCCAAGTCTGACATTGATAACCTAATGTCAGTATAAAGATTGTATTTATAATTTATCTTTTTATCTCAGCAGGGTGTTTTAAAATTAGGGCAAGCTGGTATGCGACATTGTTGGCTTGTTGGATTCTTGCTTCGATCTCTCTGTCTATTTCACCATTGAATGTAAAGATACTTCCCAAGTATTTAAATTCTTGCACTTGTTTTAGACTGTCGTGTAGTAGGTTTATGTGGTCTTGCAGTTGTTTACTGTCACTGTGAAATAGGCATTGATCGTCGGCAAAGATCAGCTCATTGAAGTCCTCCTGTTTATCGACATCTGATGGTGTTATGTCTATTTTATTTATATTGTCCATAAATATTATGAAAAGTAAAGGTGATAATACACAACCTTGTCTTACTCCTGATGTTACTGGCAACCAGTCTGTGATGCCAGCTCTTGTTCTAATGGGGCTTTCACTTTGTCTATAAATAACATAACACAATCTAAAATTGTTCCATTTATACCGTAGTTTTCAAGAACTTTCCATAATAAATTTCTGTTTACTCTATCGAAAGCTTTTTCTTGATCTATGAAAGCGATGTTCATTTGATGTCTGTGTTCTATTGTCTTTTCGCTAATTTGTCTTAAAGCAAAAATAGCGTCAGTACACCCTCTTCCTTTCCTAAATCCGACCTGTGATGGGCTCAGGATCGGTTCTACAACGGGTCTAATTCGTTGTTCCAGAATTTTGGCAAACATTTTTCCTACGTGGCTTAGAAGGGATATGCCTCTGTAATTGTTACAATCTTAGGCTCTTCACTTCCCAAAAAACATTTGTAGTTTAACAGCAGTAATCTTTTCTAGCACCTTGCCAAAAGTAATTTTAGGGTGATAATCTTCAAACCGCTGAGTGTGGAATGATCTTTGCCTGGTTTTGGAAGTGGGATTAGATAGCTGTGTACCCAATCCTGGGGTACTGAAGCTGATCTGATGCTCTGGTTGAAGTGAAAAGCTAACTCCTTCAAGTCTTCATCACTCATGCTCTTCATATGGGTATACCTGACTCAGTTGGCCCCAGTCTTTTGCTTTTTGCAATATATATTTAAAACCTCCACCCTAATAACATCCAGAAAATAATATCATTTATAGTATTAGACTTCCTCCAGAAAGTACTCAGAGAGCGTGGGAAATGCCACCCTGGTCTCACGTTTTGATGAAGGGGGAAATCTCAACTGCACCTCCTCGTGGTGGAGGATGGAAACACACCTCGGTGTGGCTAACACAGTCTTGGGGACCGAGTATCCGCCGGAATAAGCGGAGCACCATGTGGGGTTATCGGCTGTTAGCAATAACATTGCAGAGAAGGGTACCCATTTACCCAGGCGTTCTAAAAGATTGCTGAAGGTTGAGATGCTCAGCCATGTGGATGTGGAAAGCAAGGGAAGACTACCACATTATATATATCCCTACAAACTCAACATGGAAGCTGAAAAAAAGTATCTCAAAGATCTGATGGTGAGACCCCCAGGCCAGACAGGTCATTTTCACGAACTGGGGAAGATTAAGGCAGAACTAGTACAAGCAGCGAAGATGATGGCAGAAAAGCTACTGAATGCGCTGCAGTGGAAGGCTCTGTCATTGGACAAAAACAGAAAACAAAGATACGAACATGGAACGTAAGGAGTTTACATGGGGCTGGAGAGCTGACTAGGGAAAGGGATACTTTCAGTCGTGTCATGAAGAGAATGAAGCTCTGTAAAGGACTTGCTGGATGATGATGATGAGTATTAGTCAGATTACCTCTAACTGAATTTCTAAGCTCCCTATCATTATGATCTGAATGCTAAGAAGAAATCTCATAAAAGAATATTCTTAATTGTAGACAAAAATAAAAAAATAGTTTTCATAAATACTACATTTTTGAGTTAGCTGAATATCTTTTTTAGATTGTCATAAACAAAAC